TAAATATTAATAATAAATATAAATTATCGACGTAGCCTTTATATAATAATTTATAAAATCAAAAAATTTAAAGGACTTTAATTTTTTTTTTTTTTTAAGAATTTGACTTAGTTAGCTTCTTATACTCGATATAATATATTTTCTAACTCTTATTATACTTATTTTCTTAAGATAATAAATCTTCGTTATTCTTATTAATTAAAGCTTAATAGACTTTCTAATAATATTTACTATAGCCGTTATTTTATTATTACTATAATCTTTAAAATTCTTAATTTTCTTAATTCTCTCTTTTTAGAAATTCGTTATTTTATAAATAATTTAATAGCGTTAAATCTAACGCGTTTAAATTTAAAGAAGATATAATTTATAAAGACTAACGAGATACTAATAACTCTTATTAATAAGATTACTAATTTAAGAATTAATTATATTATTATAGCTAATAAGTATTTAAATTATTAAATTAATAAGAAAAAGATAAATAAGATTAATAAGATTAATAATTATAAGATAATTACTACTTAAATTTAGATTCTTACTATCGAAATTAAAATTAATTAAAATTACCTCTATTATCGACAAATTAAATCTATTATTAACTTATTTATATAATAAGCGTAATACTTCTCTTATTATATCTACTTATATATATCTATTATTTATACTTATACTTATTAAGACTTATTAAAAATATATTAATAGTAATATTATTTCTAAATTTCTTAATATCTCAGCGAAGTTTTAGATCGAGGTTATTATAAATAATATCGAGTTAATTCTTAATAAGAACTATATCGATATTCTTAATTAATCTTAAAATCTTCTAGATATATTCGCGAGGCTCGCGATAAAAGCTTATATTTTTTAAAGTATATTATTTTTATAGTATAATATTAATAGTAATATTAGAAGATTTCTTAAATCTTAAAATAAATAGTCGACTTTATTTCGAGATATCGAAATTTAGATTACTATACTTTATAAGATATTTCTTAATATTTAAAAAATTCTATAATCTACTATTCGAGAGCGATATCTTATAAATATATTTAAAAAAATTCTTAAATAAGTAATTCTTTAGTAATAGCAAAGATCTTAACTCGCTTAACGAATAAATATATATTCTAAAAATATATTTCCTTACTAATATACTCGAGTAATAATTTTATATTAACGAATTTTCTATCGTAATTAAAATTAAGAAATTCTAATTTATCGAGATTTTATCTAAATTAACTTTTAATTTCTACTCTAATAATAAAATCATTATTTTTTAAAAGTTTTAAAGATTCTAGAGATTTTAGCGATAAATTAAGACTTCGAATTATTACGTTAATAGTATTAATAATAAAATCTTATAACTATTATAAGATTATCTATTAAGCTATATCTAATAAAAGTTTTAAACTAATTAATTTATTATAGATTTCTTCTTCTATAAAAGTTACTCTAATAAAAAAACCGATACTTTTTAAAAAACCGAAGTTATTAATAATATAATCGTCGAAAAATTGTAAAGCGTTATTCCCGTAGAAAAAAGATTTCTATTTTTAAAATATTATATAATTTTTAATTTATTTCGAAGACTATAGATTTAATTACTAAATACTCTAATAGCTTTATAAAAAATAAATAGATTTATTAATCAATTATATAAGAAGATAAGAGATTCTATCGAAGATATTCTTATTTATTTTAATAATTTTAACGCTAGCCTTAATTCTAATTTTAGAATATTATTAGTAATATAATTAATAGTATAATTAATAATCTTAAAAATCTTATATTAATAAGTTCGATTTATAGCTAGAAGAAATCTATAGATTTAATAATTAATATTAATAAGATCTTTAGTAAATTAAGAAGCTAGCTTAAATCTTAATAATCGATAGCGTTAATATCGCTATTTAAAAAGCTTAAAAAGAGGTTTTTAAAAGATATAGTTTAGAAATTCGAGCTAAAAAATGTTAAGAATAAGTTTCTTAGTATCGCGTAATTGTTAAGAATAAGCTTTTTAGCTATATAGCGTTTACGAAACTATTTTTATAACTTATATATCTAATTAAAGATTAATAATATTAATAAGATAATTTAATTTTATAGAGAGTCGATTATTATAGCGAGGCGAAAGCTTTAATTAATTAAAGGAATAAATCTAATAAAATTAATTTCTTACTTACGGGAGCTACTATATATGAAAATTTACTATTAATAGAAAATAGATAAACTACTAGCGATAATAATACGATTTATATAATAAGAACTATATATCGAATATATTTAGATTTTACGTTCTATATAATATATATTAAATAGAGTTATATAAAACTTTCTATTTATAGAGAATACTATTAAATTTATTATTAATAAATAGTTAATGAATAATTAATAAAATACGAAAGAGATATCGATTTATTATTATTTTAATACTACGCTATAAACTAATATATTAATATATTACTAGTAGAGAATTAATAAATAGCGGTAATATATAAAATTTTTTCAAATTTTTTTCAAGTCCCACAGCTCTATAGGGCTATATATCTTACTTATATATAAAATTTCGAGAAAAATCGAAAAATCGAAAAATAAATTACGTGACGTTGATAAATAGACTATTAAAAGCGAAGCGAGATACTCGAACTAGTCTAAATCTTAATATATAATAAAGAAATTATTAAATAATCATCTATTCATTTTTAATATCGAATAATTTACTATTATAGAAAATTTAACATTAACGAAAAGTTAATTAAGCGTCGATTAAAAGTTATAATAGATATCGAGTTAATAATATAATTACGTAATATACTCGAATTATATATTTTCTCTAAGATATATCTAATATAAAGAGAAGATTATATATTTAATAAATAAAGACTATATACGTAATAGCTATTTAAAAAAAAAGTATAAATTTAATTTATAAATCTACTTATATAACTATATAATACTAACTCTCTAGAAATAAATAAAGAAAATTATTAAACTAAAATATAAATATAAATGTAAATAAAATAATAAAATATATTATAATATAGTAAAGATAAGAAAGATAAGAATTTTTATTTAAATTTAATAAGATTAGATAAAGTTTCTCTTATAAGTATATAATATCTATATAGTAATTTATAATTACTCTTTATAATCTAAGTAAAAGCGTATATAAATAATTTAATAATTAATTAACAACGCTTAAGTCTATATTAAATCTTCATCTTTTCTACCCAGTTTGATTCTACTCTCCTGGTCGTCAACTTCGATATACGTTATTGTCTGCCGAGGAGCGTTTCCCCATGAGATTGCACCCATAGAAGTGAGAGTGCACTTAATCAATGATTCTGGTCGGTTTATGGTGATGTTATGCTTGTTTGAGTGGTGGAGGATGTATCTGTTTGTCGTGTTCTATGTCTCCGGATTTCCCGCGAGGGCTGCAGTCCAGAAGCACAAGTAGGAGTTCATGGCGGCTGGTCCGCATCGTCCGTTACTTTTGCTTCTATTGAGCGAGGTTCTCGTGAAACAGCGAGGATCAAAGCAGCTAGTCGTCCAATCACAGCCACCCGGATTTGAACACAGCTCACGGCCGTTCATAGTCACAGACGGACCAATATCCCTCAAACCAAGAGCTCTTATTACAATTCGTCTCCCAGTGCACGCCGCGACTCGCAAGCCAGTAGGCAGTATGACACTCCCGAGAACAGCTCTGCTGCTAGGAACAATCCCTTGCCTCAGCCCGTGCGCTTAAAACATGATGACCACTGATATCTTGATACACAGCCTACTGATTTCCATTGGCAAGATTACTTCGAAAATGAAGAACCAGGTTGAGCAAAGTGAGCATAACCCATAAGCGACTTGGTCCGTCGCGCCATCAACGAGATCGCCTTGCGAAAAAGCGCAATCATAGTAGTGATGTATCGCTCGATTGATTCTGGGATGCGGGATAATAAGGCGAGCGCCTGCGCCTGCTCCAGTGGCTCTCCAGGGAGGTTGGCGGGCAGCTATGTGTCAGGCCGAGGGCAGAGAACATAGTGGTCGTCGTGGCCTGTTTTGAGGGTATGTTTGTAGAAGAACTGGCCGCCGCGGAAGACGGTGCCGGATTGGGAGACGAGGCAGCTGATCTTCCACTCCTCCAGCCAAGCTCCCGAAGCCGCACGCTGAGGCGGCCGTCTTCTTCTAACCAGACCGAGTATGAAAACTCACTGAAGCCGTCGTTCATAATCAACCACTTTGGCAAGTGATAGGTATCCGTCAGCGAACTTTGCGTCAGCCGTAGGCGGCCCATTGTTCCCAGGTTTAACTTGTAGACGCCATTGGGGGACGTGATTGCGTCAAGGGTTGTCGTATTTTTGCTGAGAATGGAGCCCAGGAGGATCAAGTCATCAGAAATTGTGGGTCTATCAACTGTGATAATGGTGTAGGTTTGGGGGATTAGACTGGTATGGTGGTGGTGGGGGTGGTAAGAGGGACAATGAAGATCTTCCTGCTGGTCTCGAACCGCGCTCCGTGGCCGTTTGCTGACAAGATGTACAAAAGACAGACGAGAAGGATCAATAGTGATAATATTGAGTTCTTCTGAGCGAACTCGTGTAGGCCTGTTGCGGGTAATCGCACTCAACAGTCACTCGCAGCTCTTGAATATCGAGTAAACAAGCGACGAGCGTGACGGAAGAAGTTATCGTATTACGCACTTGACTCTAAATGCGTGGCATAATTGGGAGCATCCGAGATACAACGGGACAGTGACTGTGAAACGAGATCGTCGCTTCATGATTTCCCAGATGGTTCATGTCAATGAACTCCAGTACCATAAAAGTCAAAAACGTCTGTCTCACCTAGGTAAAATAATACTTGAAAGTATGGCGACTGCTCGCTAAAACGTCAACGACTTTAAGCATTTGACTTTGCACCTCACGTCGAAAAAGCCTTAACAAACACCTTTAACAATTTACGCTTTGTGTAAAACAGATCAGACCTCCACTTGATTACTCCAGGCATCATGGATAATAATCAGTCAGCTCCTTGCAATCAACTTCATCCATGCCTTCAACACCCTCCCACAACGACTGAGGTATCGGCTTGGCAAGCGCGTTGGCATTACCTCTGTCCTGCTTCTCTATGAATTCTTGCCGCGACTTAATCCCATAATGGTGAAGAGCCCATTTCTCATGGGTGACAGGATTTCTCCATGGTCCGGTAGGGTCGCCATGCTCTCCTACCTCCATGTACCCATCTTTCGTTCCAATGTGATGAACATTGTTGACTTGCTGGAAGAGCTCGGTACGGACAAACATCTTAACATGCTTGTTTTCGCCATTGGGATCGTTGACGACACACTTGTCAAAATTCTTGCGGGCACCGCCTTCAGGACGGGTAAGTAATCCTGCCGAGTTGTGGGTGAGCCATTGAGCAGCCACGGCACCGACAGTATCATTGTGCTCCCAATCATGTAGCCATTGCATTAGCGTTTGGCCGTTCCGCATCTCCAGGAACTCGTCAGCGTCTAGAAAACCCATCCATGTGTGGCGCTTGCCATAGTCTTTGATGCACATGTCGCCGTAAATATGGTGATGCATCGGCTCGGGCCGTTCTTCGATTGGGGTGCGAGGTATATAGACAAAGGTAATAGCTGAGCGAGGGATACCGTAATCGGGGAGTATAGAAATTGGTGGTTGGCTTCCATCATCCATGACATAGAAACGTCGAATGCCATGATGATAGTAATAGTGGGGGAACCATTCGAGAAGGTCCACGTGCTGGTTCTTCACAGCGATACATATGGATATGTATTCTTCGTCATCACCAGGAGGGAGGGGGGGATATGGCGTTTTTGTGAATGTTGCTTGTGTCCCGCTGTCTGCAAGAGACGCTAAGTTGTGTGAAGACTTGGTCTTTTCCTTCGAGACGGATTTTTCCTCAGGGTAAGACGCTTCCTTCAGGTCTGAGCTTTCCCTGGAGTGGGGGTATTCCTCTAGGTCCGAACTCTTGCTGGAGGAATATGATGGTTCTTTCAGATTCGTACTCTCGGTAGAAGGATATTGTAATTCTTTAAGACTGTTATCCTGGCTCGAGCTGTGAGAAGTCGAATCAGCAGCCTTGTCCTGCAAAGGCGCTAAGGTTCTTGAAGGCCGCCTGCCCGGGGCGATCCACAGCACAGTGAATAAAGAAAGGGTGACAAGCACGCAGAGAGTGAGGACTCGCACGATGCGCTTGGGGCTGAAGACGATGGGCCGATCCCAAAAGTCGTTATTTTGATGTGAGGAGAACATCTTAGATTCGAATCATGCTGCTGCTTCTGTGGGGGAAAATCAAAAAGGTCTGGGAATGCTTTGGTCAGGAATCATATTACGACACTCGAGTGATATACATTTTTATGTACAAGGAGGAATAAAAGCTGAAGAGGGTGCAAAATACCATGCGGCACAAAGCTGTGCCTCTACTTTGTCGGTACTCGTACCATTTATTAGTATTGCAGAATTCCTTGGCAGGGGAAACCCTGAATTATGGCGTACGACTAGTCTAGCGGACGCAGAAACGGTTGGAATTTTGAGCTAAGAATGAAGTCCAACATTTCCTAACCTCGGTCGGCTCCAAGCATGAAAGATTTGTCGTCTCCTCTTTACTCTACTTCTATTGTTTATCGAGTCACCATGCACATATATATACCGTCTTTTTGCAATCATGCTAAAAAGTACACACCTTTGGCTGTAAGCAATTACAGACATTTGCAGACCGGTGCGAAGTCTTCGGGACAGCTACAACGAAGATGCCTTTATTTTCGACGATATTGTTCTACGGTGCGTTTTGATCCAACCAAATGCTGCAAAGCTCTACTCTCTTCTCGCAGTTGGAAATGCACTGGACCCTTAGCGGACAATGCAGAGACCAACGTGACACCAAAACCCTATAACTTGAGCTCGGTCCTGGCTGCTGAAAATCCATGTACAGGAGATATGTAGACCGCAGGGAAGATAGCACAATCGTAACGGAGATAAGTCTCACAAAGGGACCTCCGGTAAGCAGTGGCCCAGCTACATGCCTGGAGCATTTTGACAGGTGTAATTTCAGACGACGCTCTGGCATTTGTAACCTTGATTGGATAAAGTTACCGCCAGCTGGATGACTGACTTCCATGAAGCTCTTTCATCGTCTCAGACTACATTGCCCGAAATAATAGTCATGATCCACTAAGACTCCGTAGTCACTCGGGCCTTCGCATTTGTAACCTTTACCCCCAACTGCTTCGCCTTCGCAACGATATCCACTCTCTTTCTCGATGAAACTGCATGGGAAATCCTGTTTGCAGTCAGCGCCCAATGCGACAATCAAAAAGACGCGATTAAGGAAGAGCAAGTCTGTTTACGTACTCTGCCGCGAACGTCTTGTTGTGCATAAGCAGAAGGTCAACATCTCTGGAATTGTGGACAACGAAGGCTTTGTGGCCAGAAGGCATCAGATGCCGGGTTTTCTTATTGGAACCGTATCCTATCTAAATCATGGTACTTCAATCAGCCTCTCTCCTTAGCAATATAATTTGCCGACCATATTTTCGGCGGTCTGAGAAGCAGGCAACATTCGTGCCCATAAGTTTCTTCTCAATAACGCACTAGTTGCATAGTACAAAACGCACATACCGAAGGCATAGCAGCTTGACCCTTGAAACGTCTGCGGACTCGGTTGTCGATACCCTTGGGCTTCCGCCAATTTGCGTCGACACATTTGTAGGTGTCGCTCTGGTGACGATTGAAGCGCTTCGTGCCTGCAGAACGAATGATCAGCAGAATCACTATTGACTGCTGCCATAAAAATGTAGCGGAGGTGGAGCGGTTTGTGAGAAGCTCGAACAACGGGTTGACTTACGCTTTTTCACGATCTTAATGTGCTTTTTCGCGGCAGCCATCTGGAACGCTCAAAGGCTCATCAGCAGCCATCTATATCAGGAGTGCCCGCAGTTGTTGGAGACATACCCTGACGTAGGTGATCGATGTTAACGTGATGTTTGGAATCGAATTTCAAGGACGGCAATGTTCAAGTGCTACTAGCTTCTGCGCTAGTGGTTAAGCGATAATTCCCAGCAAAGTTAGGGTTAGGGCAAATCTGTCACAGCTAATGTTCGTAACCTCTAATGGGGCTTCGTTGCGTGATATTTAGTAGAGGATAGCCACGAACATTTTTACAGATTTTCATCGAGCCAAATTATGTGGGTGGGAGTGCTCTATCCATCTGTCCTTATACGCCGTTCTCACCAGTGCTCTATGTGCGTCTGGCGAAATCCTCGCGTTCATGAGCACGCTGGATGCTTGATGCTTCTTTTCCGCGGTACTCACTGCTGGGCACATTGAGCCTCGCCTTCTTCTTCATCCTCGTCGTCAACCCACCCTTCGTCGCCTTCGGCACTTGCTCCGAACTCGTTCAAGTTGGCAGTTTCGTCGTAAGCAACATCATCAACGACGTCAGCTTGTATTGGGGTTTCGGGAGTCGGTAGGAGTTCTTTCAATTTTGCAAGTACCTGCTTGTCTTCAAGCCATCCATGCTCTGGGAACTTGACCTTGACCACCAAGTACAAATCTCCCTTTAACTCACTTTTCTTGTGAGGCATTCCTTCACCCACCACCTTGATGACTTGGCCCGGCTCCAAAACACGTGCATTAGGCTGAGAATGTTGGATGTGGAGACCTCTACCATCCAGGTGCTTCACGATCACTCGCGAAAAGCCACATAGAGATTCGACTAGAGTGATTTCAATTTCCGCCAACAGATCAGCGCCTGCCCTTTTGAATGTCTCGTGTTCGGTCTGCACGAGGCCGAAGATAATGTCACCGGGCTCTTGATCGGGTACCTGATCCGCCTCACCTTCCAGAGTTATCTTGTCTCCTTCTCTGCAGAAGATCAGCAAAGTCGACAAAAGGTAGGAGTAGGAGTATGAGGGCTCTAACTTTGAACCTCTTGGAATGTAGATTTCCAAAACCTTCCGTGCTTCTGTGACACGCTCACCCTTGCACTTTTTGCATTTGTCTTTTTGAGCATATACACTTCCTTTGCCTTTACACGAAGCGCATACGACTGTTTCTTGGGTAACCAGGCCTGGTCCGATAGACCGTAGTCCTTGCTTGGAGCCTGTGATCGCGCATCAGTGGAGCCATTCTTTGAGCCCGTAACGTCTTGAACGTACCCTTGCCCTGACACGAAGCGCACTGCTTTGCCTTTGCCTTCTCCTTGCCGCCACTTCCCTTGCAGTGGTTACATATGACGTTCTTTGTGCTCGCAAATTTTGTGGTCTTTCCCTTGTATAGATCCTCTAAGGTGACCTGATAGGGATGCTCCTCATCATCACCCTTTCTGGACCTTCTCGGTCCTGGCCCACTGAAACCCGGCGGCATACCGCCCCCCATGCCAAACATCTGTGAAAGCATTTCTTCAAGATCGGGACCTGCGCCCATACCATTGCCATGAGCGCTGTCAAATGCAGACATGCCATGGGTATCGTATAAATGTCTCTTGTCATCATCGTATAGGATTTCGTAGGCTTTGCTGACTGATTTGAACTTGATTTCTGCGCTAGCTCTCTCGCTCTCGGCCACCTTATCCGGATGGCTAGATAGTGCTGCCTACACATTATCAGCTGAGAAAACCAAAGTAGATAGGAAAGTGGACCTTATGATATGCTTTCTTGATCTCCGACTTGCTTGCACCACGTCCAACCTCTAAGACCTCTATGATCCCATGAGTACAGGTAACAGCGCAGAAACGATTGCCAGCTAACCGTACAAGTCTGTGTCTTCGGCAGAGCTATCCACTGCTCGTAGTCAGCTGTGTATCTTCCTTTAGACTGCAGAGACTTACTCTCCGTGAGGGTCTAATGGAAGACCTCACAGTGGGCTAAATGGTCATCTCAAGTGTCACATAGGAGATTGCTTTTGAGGCGTAGGTGTAATACGAATGAAGAGTGTGAAAGAAATCTATTGAGCAGGAAGCAATAAGGTTTATAGTGCCTGAGACAAAATTCTAGTTCACTGCGCGGAGAAAGCGCGCTAGAGGTCAACCGCCTAGGTCCCCAGATTCCTTGAGCAGCTGCTCCCTACCAAAAAGCCCAGGACTCTTATTAAGAAGGTCTGATACGTTATGACGGTGCCTAGGCGAACCATTGTATCTGGAAGTAAAGCTTGGATCTGTTGCAGATGCCGGGCCCTATCTACAGCTAACAAGCCAGATGTAATAGAGAGGCGGCCTTCACAGAAGCTACCCACAACCCCAGCAAGGACTCGGTTTGCCCCGTCACCCACAGGATATCTTCATTTGGGTTCTTTACGTACGGCGTTGTTCAACTATCTAACTGCAAAAGCTACCGGGGGGAAGTTTGTATTACGGATTGAAGACACAGACAAAGTTGGTCCAAACATCGACTCAAGGAAGTGGAACGATTCACATGGCTGATAGTCGAAGAAAAGGATTGTGGATGATGCGGAGAGCAGGCTATATCAGGACCTGAAGTGGGCTGGCTTACAATGGGATGAGGGTATGCAGAGGAGCATTGAATAATTCGACGATTCTATATTTCTGATGGAGTCCCCAGGTCCTGATATTGGAGGTCCTTATGGACCGTACAAGCAGGTACCAATCGCATGTGAAATAACCAAAGACTCTCCTGACATACGTTTAGTCCGAAAGAACATCTATGTACCAGAGCCATGCAGAGAAGCTGCTGCGATCTGGGCACGCTTATCGATGTTTTTGTTCCACAGAGCGCTTAAAGAGCCTTGCGAAGGGAAGGAACGGCCTTGGTCTATCCAGCGACTATGATCGAACTTGTACCAGCCTCCCAGCTGGAGAGTCGGAGGAACGGGCTTCCAAGGGTGAACAACATGTTGTTCGATTGAAGCTTCCTGAGGTCCCACCCACGTACACAGATCTGGTTTACGGAGTCGTTGGCCAGCGTAAAAGTAAAGAAGGAGCACATGCGCCACGCCCACAGCTTAGCTTCGAAGACCCAATTCTCATCAAGTCTGATGGTCATCCAACCTATCACTTGGCGAACGTCGTTGACGATCACCACATGGGAATCACGCATGTCATTCGTGCAGTGGTACGTGGATCCGGATTTGCGAAATTGATGCAATCATCAATTGACTTGGCTAGGAATGGATGCCCTCAACTCCCAAACACATAGTAATGTATAATGCATTCGATTGGAAGCCGCCAACCTTTGCCCACGTCGGGTTGTTGCAGGATGCATCGCGGCAGAAATTCAGCAAACGGAACTTGGCTCTTGATCTCAACTCTTTTCGGCAAGACGGTATATTTCCAGAGGCTTTGGTCAACTACGTTGCCTTGTTTGGCTGGTCGCACAGGCTAGGTGTTGATCAATTAAATTTGCAGGATCTCGTGCAGAATGTACGTTCGGCTCTGACGACCTAATTCGCAACCATCTGTTGACATCTGCCAGTTCGACCTTAAGTTTACGAAAGGTAATACCATAGCAGCACCGAATAAGCTTTTTCACCTTCAAAAGCATTACGCCCAACAGTATGCCGAAAAGGAAGAAGGAGAGGAGTACCTAGCAATGATTGATAAAGTCCTTGCTGTCGCAGAGGAGCACCTGCAAGCACATCCCGAGTAAGAAAGACCCTCCAATTGTCGTAGATCCCCTCTAATGGCTTTGTATTTTCTAGGAGTAGGATCTATTCAACTAGCGAGCTCAAAGAGCGCATTGCTGCTTTGTTGAATGTCGACGCAAAGAACTATACCACACCTCTACAATTTGTCGAGCGTAATGCCCACTTCTTCTTCATCGAACCTCGAGATAAATACAGACACGGACCGAACGATGCCGGATTGACTGAAAATACTGGCAGAATCGCAGATCATCTCAAGGCAATCTTGCCTGAGCAGTGGGACGAACTAAGTCTCAGGGAAGCTTTTGACAATATGGCTAATACCCTTTCAACGGAATCGGGTCCGAACTCTGAGAAAGCTTCCAGAGCTTCTGTGCAACATTTCTTACGATGGGCCCTGACAGGAGGTCGTCCGGGTCCAACCCTGATACTTACAATGAGTATACTAGGCAGAGATGTGTCTCTGAAGAGAATTGAGGACGCCACGGCAGTGCTAGAGAAGATGAGGTTCGAAGCCAACAAACGCTCAGCTTAAAGTAAATGAATATGATCAGATGTGGTCAGCACAATCGATTCGTAATTTCATTGCTCATTGTCTGTCTAGATGCAAGATCCCTCGAGGTCATGCCTTCGACGCATTGTCTTCCTGGGCAATCGTAGCTCCAACGGTATTGAATAGCTTTGCCTTGAACTCGCTGACCAGGAGTCCTGTGACTTCCTCACCCGCAATCTTGTTGCTATCACGAATGACCTTGTCCAGCTGTGTGTCCTGGCCATTGAATCTATGCTGTCCTCCCCGTGAACCTGCTTTGACATTCTTCTCCGCTTGTCGAATCTTCTCGCTCAAATCCAACATTTGCTTGCTGCCGTACTCACGATTGGTGAACAGTGGACTCTGGCTGAGCGTAGATACCCAGTACTTATTCCACAGCAGTTCCAGTAGATGTGAGTCCAGCGTGCTCTTAAAATGTGAGATCTCTAAGGAGTAGTATCTGCTTGCGTGTGCGCCGAAGTCCTCGATCTTTGCGAGTGGTATTGTCTGATAGCCATCTCCTCCGCCGCTTGCTGCTGGCTGGTAATCTTTGGGGAATGTTCGAAAAGCGCCAATCTCCACCTTGCCGGCAGAAATCGTACGGTCTGGATCTATGACCACAGCGAGAAAAGGGTCTTGGAACATTTGCTGCGTCAATTGCGTGTCGACGTCGATTCCCGATAGCCAGCACCCGTAGCCCGGATGGCTGTGATACCACCCAATGGCGTTCTCTGCACGCCCATTCTCTCGACATGACGCTAGATATTGGACAACGTACTCGTTGGCCTGGTCTGATGCGTTAACTCGGGTCTCGGTGCCTTCGACAGGCAACCTGAAAGCGTCCGTAACAATGAATGTGTCACCCGAGATTTTTCCTTGCATAAGGCCCATGACTTCTATTGATCCTCCAGAGCGTGCATGCATTACCATCTTGAGCAGAGCGACAGCAGAAATGCGGACGTTTTTGAAGTAGTGTGGATCTTTCTTCCATGGACTTTCATTGCTGATACTTTTTTGCTCAGCATCGTCGTAGGCATAGAGGGCGTCGCGCTGAGGATCAACCAGCTTGGCGGCATTTTCAAGCTCTGCTTTCAATAAGTATAAGACCAGGTTGAGTGAACATGGGGAGATGCTCACCCCAGACTTTCTGGAATCTATCCATCTTCAAGGACCAAGAATCATCAGGGAGGTAGTATCATGTTGGATAGAGTGATTTTGTAATTTGTATGAGCAGGAGCTTGAATGTATTGTTTGACTCCATGTTGGCGCGGAAGAAAGTAAAGCCGACGGCGAGAGACATGCTATCGATAGTCGTCATGGCAACTCACCCGCATCTGAAAACACACAGTTTGTGGAGAAACACTCCGCCGACTGATGCCATAAGTGCAGAAGAACTCTCACTTTCACTGGTACATCAATCGCACGCATTTGATAGGCCAACAAATAGAGTTCCTTTTGTTTTGATACTCGGGCCACCCTTCAAACTCGGCTTCGAGGCCCCAAGTCACGGAGACCTGAAATCGGCCAGTCATGGACTCGAATCATCTCACTACGCAGGTATCTACCATCATCGGCCAACTACATGGATTGTTCGACGAGATTGGCGTCCCCAGTCACGAGAGGGAATCAAGAGAGTCGGAGGTACGAGCTGAGATATCAAAGGTTAAAGACAAGTTCTGACATGAAACACAGCTCTTCACTGCTCTGTCAGAAACACTACATAATCAGCTGCGCTTGGTCACAGCGTAAGCTCCAATCGCAGTCTTGATCTCTCAGATCCTACTGACCATTCATAGCGAGAAAAGCGAGCTTACCGAAGAGGCTCACCGAATGATCAAGACAATCAAGCAGATGGAAGCGTCGCTGGAAGATCCCGCACCTAAAGATGCGTACTTGCTAGAAGATACAGAGCTGAAAGTCACTGTACCTCTCACACGATGCCTACAAGGTCTGAAGGAGAAGCGCAACACTATTGCCAAAATCCACCGTGAGAGGTTTGAGCAGGTCAAAAGTAAGATATAGAACAAGTCGAGGGTATGAGCGCTAACGCATTACAGAACTCGTTCAGGCGCTTGAGTCCTATTCTTCCCATCTCGAGCCATCATTCATTCAAATCACGCTACCGCCCACATCAAATAATTCCTCGCTTCCCCCAACATTCGACCTTTCACCATCATATATCGCATCACTCGACAATGAATTTTCCCGGGTGTATGAGGAGTACACACGGCGTATTGCCTCCGTCAAAGGTCTGGCGGAAAATATAGTGAACCTTTGGGCAGAGCTAGGCACACCGCAAGCCCAAACAGAAAGTTCGATCGTGAAGTACTACCGAGAAGCCCCAGAGCAATTAGGACTCCACGAACACGATATCCAGCGATTGCAGGCCAAACGCGACAGGCTCATTGAGGAGAAGCGGGGCCGTGAACGAAAGTTGAAGGAGCTAAGGAGTACCGTTGAAGGCCTTTGGGATCGTCTTGGTGTGCAAGAGACGGACCGCAAGCAATTTCTAGCTGGAAATCGAGGATGTGGATTGAGAGTCATCAATGAATTCGAGGCGGAGCTGGATAGGTTGAATGAGTTGAAGCGACAAAATCTGCACCTGTTCGTTGAAGATGCACGGTATAAGCTTCAGGAGCTATGGGATTGTCTCTATCTTTCCGAGGAAGAGATGCTTGAATTCGCACCGGCATTTTCTGACGTCTTCAGCGACGCTCTACTTTCGGCACATGAGGCGGAAATCTCGCGCCTTGAAATATTGAAGGAGCAGCGCGCGCCTACCCTGCAGTTAATCGATAAACATCGATCATTGATCACAGATCGAGACGATCTGACAGCTGCAAGCCAGGATGCTTCGCGACTCTTGGGAAAGAACAACAAAGGAGAAAAGCGTGATCCGACCCGACTGTTGAGGGAAGAGAAAATGAGGAAAAGGATTGCAAAGGATCTGCCCAAAGTTGAGGTGGAACTCAGGAAAACTTTGGAGCGTTGGGAGGATGACTACGGCCGGCCTTTCCTAGTTCATGGAGTACGGTACCTGGACGAATTAGTGGCAGCAGCTGCAAAGAGCTTGCCACCAAGATCAAAAACTCCCTCAGGCCCAGCACCAACGACACAAAAGGTACCACTGAAATCTGCCCCAGCGCCATCATCATCACGAGCTGGTAGTGTCATGCGTGCTTACCCACCTTCTCGATCTGCCACAGCAACACCAGCAGGTACACTTAGACGAAATCCTATGGCAAGCTCAGTCTCTACCACTGGAGGAAGAACGCCGTCTAAGATTCCAGCTCGTGTTCCATTGGGCAATATGCAGCACGGCGGAAACTCACCAGAGCGACGTGCAGCTGCACTAGGGCCATCATACGACACTAGCACCATGCGAAAGATGGGGCCACCTGCGAGGGCCCCACCTCCAATGATGAGAGACTTGTTTGTACCTCCCAATGCGACTCCCTCCAGTGCTTATGATGTGGAGAACATGCGATGCGAGAGTGCTGCATCATCAACCACTGGGAGCGTTCGGCAGATCACACCAGAGGATGTGTATGATGACCGAGAGCGTATGTCATACGTACAAACATCCATAATGCAGTCAGAGCGAAACACACCTCAAAATTACCGAGACGCGCAAGCTTCAGCGCGGTACGATACTCGTCACCAACAATACGTGCCAGTTGCCGATAGCAGACAAATATCAACAACGTCGACCTCGACGACGGCCGCTTCTGGATCGGAGAATTGGGAGACCTTTGACGACGCTTCTGAGCCGGAGGTAGATCTAAGCGAAGCGTACTATGCTAAGCTGCGAGCTGCGAAGACCGGGAAGCGCTTTGAACCAGAAGGAGGGTACACACCACCCCGTCCTGGGAAAAAGGTTAAAAGCGTGTACGGCACCGGAATCAATGGTCAAAACGTGATCGAGGAAGAAAGTGGGCGCAGGCTTGTTACGGGAAGCGAGTCTGCTTGGACGGATGAAGATGCCTTCTGAATATCGAAGGTCACGACTTACGGAACTGTTACTTCGGATCATGGACATGGTTTTTGTTTCTTGCTCATATTCCTGGGATTTGGAAAGATCCCACCAAGTGAATAGGAGGTTGCCAGTCCAAGATAGGCGTCAACTGGTGAATACGTGGCCGGAAGCATTGTTTGAATGTATCTTTTCTTCCCTTCTTCTTCTTCAGTGTATTGAATTGCGCGAGGCCAAAATATCAGGTCGGCCACTATTCGTCCGGTGACATGCACATTACCATGGATCTTCAGCTCGGCGGAATGTGGAAAAAGCATGAACCGAAGAAGTACCTTCTATGTCAGCGACCCTATTTGGGTTGGTGATATTTGTCAGTGTTGATAATAGCATACACATGCATTTTGTTCTCGTATACAACGTCCGTGCAAGGTTTGATACATCCATATTCCGAAGAGCTAAAGACAAGAAACATCCAATGGTAACTGAATCTCTTGCCTGGTTGAGGGGTATCTGGTATCTGTGTACAACTACACAGATGACTCTTGAGCGAGGCTTGTGGAGTTCGGGGGCAAATCCCCGTGTCGCTCTGTTGGTTTGAGGCTGGGACATTTTGAATTGTTCTATTCGATAGATGACACCTACTTCTGAGCCTTCGTGCTGTACTCTATACGTTGATTCGCGGAATGCTAACTTTTGCTCGTGGATGATTTCCTCGTTCATGGGTATCTTGGAAACTCCCTGACCAGAAGAATATCCGCGCTCAATGTTGATGCCGGGATACCTTGACGCCATGCAAAAGCCGCACACTATTCCACAAGGACTCGGAAACCATAAAAGGTAGCTTCCTACCCTTCAATCGCTGATCGATCAGCCACATCCCTACGACAAATTCATTTCGTTTGAGCCTGTCACCACCTTGAATGTTTACCAAGTCCCAGATGTCTGCGAGAACATCGTTTGGGAGACGGCTCCGGCTCCAGATGTCGCGGACCATAAGATTGAGGACGCTATCCGATGAATCGGCGTCCATCCAAAGTCCCTTGTTAGCAGCCCACACACCGTCATACCTTCGTCTCTCCCGTTCCGTCACAGTAGCCCTATACCTTTTCCGATCCCCTTCATGATGTTTGTGTGGATGCTTCCTCGTGAGGATGCTTTTCTTTTTGTATTCTACTTCGTCATCTGACGGTAACGGTTCTCGCATTGTGTGCCTCAAAACCTTTGCTGGACTTGGGGTGCGAGACATCTGTCCCTGGCTATGGTGATTATGAAATAGAGAATGCGACTTGTGACGACGGGGCGGTGGTGGTGGCGGTTTCGTCGGAGAAGGCGCACGGGATGAAGCCAGCGAAGCGGCGACAATAGTGTTGGCCAACGAATCAACCTTTGTCTCAAAGCTTATTGAAGATCTGACTGGTAGAAGAGGACGTGAAGGTGAAGCGAAAGATAGTTTCAAAGGCAGAAATGCTGGGTCTGACCGAGGTGCTTGTAAAGCAGTGCCCGGTTCCGCAGGCCGAGCTTGAGCCAATGCTAACGAGGCACTTTCCTGCGGAATGTCAGTTATATTTTTCTGGCCGCTTTCTGATAATGAATTCAGTGGCGCATAAGCTCCGGATCGGCGTGGAGCTGGGGGTTCGGGCACAGTGCGTGGTAAAAGCGTCGGATGTGCTGGTTTACTTGACCTTGATGTTGCTGCTCTGGCTCGACCAACTGATTGCGCAGCCGCAGCTGCAGCACCGGTATCCGTGATGTTCGAAGGGTCTGAAGCTGTGAAACCCCTTTCTAGCTCAGATGCACAAGGGAATGTACCTAGCGAACTAGTAGTGGATAACCTTATCGCTGGCTTGATTGGTGTTGGACTTGCAATTACTGATGTAGGCTTGGTCACGTAACGGATCGAATGGGTAATAGGAATATTCCTTTTGTGGTTTTGCTTGGACTCGAAGAGACTCACGAGGGAACTAGTAGCTCCTCCGACGGCTCCGTCTGTCGAGCGAGATATCGTCGCTGGCGTATTAACCCTGTAATCCATAATATTCTGTAAGGGTGACGGCTGGCGCGACTTTGGTGTCGAATCGCCGGACTTTTGAGTGTTGACAGGCGTGGACTTGGAGGTAGCATGCAAAGCGGCAGCGTAAGAAGGTGACTGCTCTCGTGACCTTCCAACTTTCTCCGAGGCACCAGACCGACGAGGCGTCTTCGTAGAAAGCCTTTCCTCCTTTTGACCGTTTGAAGTAGCCCCCTCGACGAGTTGGACTCCCTGCCTTCGCATTCCCATTCCAGCGGTCGTAGCTGCGGCGAGAGCTCCATTAGCGCCGACGTGAGACTTTGGCAAGGATTCTGCCGGGGCAACTAGGGAGAAGGCACGGAAAGCCCCTCGAAAAGCCGTCGATTGTCGTCCCACATCGCGGGAATTCGTGTTCGAAGGGGAGTGATCCCTGGAGGCGCGAGAGGTCATGAACCATGGGCTTTATGGAGAGCCGTGGCCACCCTCGCACATCAACGGCGGAACTCCATATGCTTTGGGTATCGTGCTTCAAATGGGATGCTGCACCAGACTTTCTGGCATCGTGCAACAAGATATCGCAGAGCTAAAGTATGTTTGGATTTGGAAAGTGACATTCCGCGGCTCGGCGGATACTTTAGGGTTCTAATCCTCGGCAACACGCGCGCTGAAACCCTGCAGCCTGCTTCAATACGCGCTGATTGGTCCATTCACGATTGAATCTACTTAGTCCCATCCTTTATTGCCCCCTTCGTGAACAATACTCCAGAAGACAATCAACACCATACTACCTCAACCTTGGAAGCGTCGCGCATCTTCATGGCGCTCATCCTGACAGTCATGATTACTTTACTTACAGCGAGCTATCGGCCCGAGCAAGCAGAAACCAAGACCAGCTTCGCGTGGAGAACAAATTGCTCATGCCGCGTTTGAGGACAGCGTGCGCAACTTCCGACGATATCAAGGTGTGGTTTGAGTCTTCTGATAGCAGCGGTGTCTGACTGTCGCCGAGTTCGAATGTGGGAGTGATGTAGGGTTTCCTCTTTTTCCTGATCATAGTTCGTTGCTCGAACGCGTATGCTAGCGAGATCAAGGTCTCTTCGCTCCACTGACGGCCTACAAATGCAATCCCAAACGGAACGTTAGGACCAACATTGACCAAGGTGCCCTTGAGATTCATGGCAATTGCTGTGTCAGGAGGATAGAAACCCAACGGGACCGTAACAATGGGAAGCCCTCCGATCGAAGGGAGATGGAAAGAGGCAAATGTTGGCATTACCAACGCATCGAGACCAAACCGATCGAGAGCTCCTATTATGCCCTGCTCCTCAGCCATACGCAGATTGGCTTGATATGCGTCATAAGACTCTTTAGACTCGTTAGTGATATTAAGGTCAAAGTCCGAGTCCCAAACATGAGTCTATTCAAGTGTTAGTCTCAATCTGCAAAGGCAGCAAATTTAGACCTACGTCGCGATCAGGATACTCCTCGCGAGAGTCGTCTTTTGTGAATTTTTTTATATCAGCCAGATTCTTTACGTTATTAGGGTTCGTCTTCAACATTCCCAGATATGCTGAGAGTCCAGCAGTGAAGTCGGTGCGCATTATGACATTGCTGTTCCGGGAAAACGCAGGGACATCGAACAGAGCGAAATTGGCTTCGTCAACAACACTTGCCCCGGAATCTCGAATGAGATCGAGCGCTGCTTCGAAGGCAGCCATGATTGGCTTCGTGTTGTTGTCAAGGAAGTGATCGATACCATTTCGAGGTACACCAAGACGAGCGCCCTTGAAGGCCGAGTAATTACAGGCCTTGACATAATCAGGCACCTTGTCAAAGGGCTGGACAGAGGTCCAATTGTCATTTGTATCTTTCCCGGCTATTGCGCTCAGCAAAATGGCGGCATCCTTCACACTCTGTGCTACAGGTCCAATGGAGTCTTGGCGGATACTTATGGGAATGACCATACTTCGCGATGTGAGACCCAAAGTTGGCTTGATGCCAACGATGTTACTTTTCTCGGCTGGCAGAACGATACTCCCACTGGTTTCGGTGGCTAACGCTCCCAATGCGAGACCCAATGATGCCGCCACGGCACTACCACTGGAGCTTCCAGAGGGATCTTGTCGAGGATAGTACACTCCGAGACATTGACCGCCATAGGCGCTCCATCCATGAGAAGAGCTCGCTCTGCCCGACCTCCATTGCGCCCATTCTCCCATTGTAGCCTTGCCTAACATGACAGCCCCTGCTTCTCTCAATTTCGTGACCACGGTTGATTCACGAGAGACAGAGGCCCCAAGCAGCGCAAACGAACCAGCTTTTCTTGTTAGCTCTTTGCCGAGAACGGGACATGATATACTACCTGTGTTGTTCATTCGATCAAGGGTCGCTATGTTATCCTGTAGAAGTAAGTACGTGCTTTCTGGGTATCAGACGAAGAGCTGTAACCTTAATGAGTATCGGAATTCCATGCAGAGGCCTTCTTCTGTCAGCCCTGAGCTGCACGAATGTCTTGGTCATAGATTTCCTTACCCTCGTACGCGGCCAGCAGCACGCTCGTTGTCCAGATTCTGCGCAATAAAGAAGGCATCTGGATTGACCTCACTCACAGCATGGAGAAGTGGATTGACTTCGCTTATACGTTGAATGTATGCCTTCGACACTTAGCTTTAAACAACAGGTAGATAGAGACGAAGGAAGAACATGCATGCACGAGGTCTACGCTTCTCATCAAGCCGCTGGCTTGAAGAGCACTGAGATCCTCAATACTGGCCTCGTCCAGACGTAAGACTGAATGAAGTGTTGTTCCTGGACATGGGTAAGTCACGGAGTCGCCTGCGGCGCTTAGTCCAGCAGCGAGGACAAGATAAGAAACGTACACCAGCCATCCCACGCGGAGGCTGATCCCGAGCATTAATCGTACCCGTAGAAGTAATACGGGACAAGACGATCTAAACTGATGGGCGAGCGTGGGCCAAGGATTGTAATGGTGAAGACAAATCAGGTTGAGTGTTGAAGAAGAGAGTAGGCGAACGCGAAGAGAGTAAGAGACAAAACCCTTGCCAAGGGACCAAAGGCGAAGGAGACGATTTGGCTTGTTAGATAAGTAAACGGAGGGGATTAATTTCCCAACGTAGTAGCACATGACAGCAAAGGGGAGATAAGCGTGAGCAAGTTGGCCTGACAAAGGTCTTCAATACTACTGGCTCACGTCGCCCAACATTCCGAAACCTTCTCCAATGCCGCATTTTGCAATATCAAACGGGCGCCTTTGACATGGGACAGATAGGGAGAAACGAGGGGGGAAATAATGAAACGTAAGGTAGCTCTGGCACCAGAGTCCAGAAGACACGGTCGATGATTAGATCTCCCGCCGGTAGATAAGCGATTGGCTTTTCCTCACCAGGATCCTCCCATGGATCTGATACCGTTCATTGGATTGGTTAGTGTACTTGTAATTATACAGAAAAATTGAATGCTGTATCAGGAGGAGAAGGAAAGATATCTTTTCGCCTTACAATTTCGAACAGTCAGTGGAACCGAAATTTTCTTATGAACGGGAGAATGGGGGGGGGGGTCAAGGCTAGACAGGGTTTAGTGCATCACGTGCAGTCGTGCTGATTGACTAAGGTACCTGTTTTACCTTACCTTACATACGGAACTTAAAGTAGGTTGCCACTCATGTTGCCTACATTAGGCTCGCTAGAATAAGGTACCTAGTGTACAAATCCTTATGTGTTGTACAGAAATATAGACCCTGTTGAGAAAATTGCCGACGTTCAACAGCACTACGAGTATCTGCTGATATTGTTGTCATTGGTAAACATAGCACTTATATCAAGACCAAAGCCAGAGTTGCACACATGCCAGACTCATTGATGGATGATGCAGGGAGTGCCGGTGATGGTTCAATGTATGCCCAGGTCCTTAGAGACGAGGAACTGGATGAGAAATTCCCGAATCGGCCGCGGAATCACTCCAAGACTCTTCCATTTCATGATCTTTTCTTGGCTCTCTTCAATCCATTAAATGACAACAAAAAGAAGCCCACTGGTCCAGTTATGGCAAGAAAGAAACAGGGCCCCCATGGACCGACTAGCCAAAACCCACATGAGATTCGCCAGAACATCATCGAGCGTTTCATTTCGAGATGGAGGAAAGAGGTAGGCAATGACATCCACCCGGCTTTCCGCCTTATCATCCCAGAGAAGGACAGGGAGCGAGCTATGTATGGTCTCAAAGAGAAGACCATAGCAAAGCTACTGATCAAGATTATGAGACTTAACAAAGATGCCGAGGATGCATACAGTCTGCTCAATTGGAAACAGCCTGGACAAAGTTCAGTCAGTAGGATGGCCGGGGATTTTGCAGGTCGTTGCTACGAAGCCATCTCCAAAAGACCCATTCTTACCGAAGTCGGAAACATGACAATTGGCGAAGTCAATGACCTTCTTGACAAGCTGTCTGCCGCTCAAAAAGAAGATGCCCAAGAGCCGATTTTTGCAGAGTTCTATAAGAGGATGAACGCTGAGGAGATGATGTGGTTGATTCGAATCATCCTCCGTCAGATGAAGGTAGGGGCTACAGAAAAAACGTTCTTTAGTATCTGGCATCCCGACGCGGATAGTCTCTTCAACGTGTCGTCCAACCTTCGCCGCGTCTGCTGGGAGCTGTACGATCCCTCCCTTCGATTAGAGGGGGAAGAGCGGGGAATCACGTTGATGCAGTGTTTTCAGCCACAACTGGCTCAATTTCAGATGAACTCTCTCCAGAAAATGGTCGAGAGGATGAAGCCTACCGAAGATGATTCTGTATTCTGGATTGAAGAAAAGGTACGTTGTGTCGGAGTCCAGATATCCTCTTCTTAGACCAGGCATCGAAGTCTTGCGTCCTGTTACAAAATTCTCTATTTCACGGATATGTTTTGGGTTTCCGGGAAACCACTTCGAACAGGCAGTGCTGACCCCCTTATCCTTACCAGCTTGACGGGGAGAGAATGCAACTTCATATGATCAGCGACGACGAGATACCTGGAGGAAAAAGATTCGGCTTCTGGTCACGGAAAGCAAAGGAGTATACCTACCTCTACGGCAACGGGTTTGAGGATCCGAATTCGGCGCTGACCCGGCACCTCAAAGAAGCATTTGATGAGGGAGTAGAGAACATTATACTCGATGGTGAAATGATCACATGGGACCCCGAGCAAGATGCAATGGTACCGTTTGGGTATGTGCAATTAGGAGCGATTCCTTCCTAAGTGGTACCACGGTTTGACTTCTAAAGCATGTTTGGGGAGCACAAGGCTCTGATGACCCCAAAAATCCTTTTTCGAAAGAAGATATACTTACTCCAAATCAATTGTAGGACGCTTAAGACAGCGGCCCTCGCTCAGCAACAGAATGAATTTGCGACAAAGAGCATTCGACCGCTCTACAAAGTCTTCGACGTCCTCTACCTGAACGGTCAAGCGATAACAAATTATACATTACGCGATCGTAGAAGAGCACTCGAACGGACTGTCAAAGGCGTCGCTCGAAGGATGGAAGTTCACACCTACGAAGAAGCCAAGACTGCTACAGCAATTGACCCTCTCCTGCGCAAAGTTGTGGCGGAGGCATCTGAGGGCTTAGTACTCAAGAATCCTCGTTCCTCGTATCGCCTGAACGAACGTAGTGATGATTGGATGAAGGTCAAACCTGAATATATGACAGAGTTTGGTGAAAACCTCGACTGCCTCATCATTGGTGGCTATTACGGTTCAGGTCATCGCGGCGGTAGATTATCATCCTTTATGTGCGGTCTGCGAGTTGATCGAAATCAGATAAGTCAAGGCGCCAATCCAATGAAGTTCTATTCCTTCTTCAAGGTTGGAGGTGGCTTCACTGCAGCGGATTACGCTGAATTACGGCATCGAACTGACGGTAAATGGAGGAAGTGGGATTCCAGGCACCCACCCACTGAATACATTGCACTAGGCGGAGATCAGCTGCAATTCGAACGGCCAGACGAGTGGATTCTACCTATTGATTCGGTTGTAGTCGAGGTTAAAGCCGCGTCCGTTGCAGTGACAGATCAATTCAAGATGGGATTCACTTTGCGCTTTCCCAGATTCAAGAAGCTTCGTACCGATCGTACCTGGGAGACTGCGCTCTCAATAACAGACTTCATCACCCTTAAAGGAAATGCTGAGAAGGAGGGAAAAGAAAAGCAATTCAAGATTGACGATAGCAGGAGGAAACGACAGCGAGTACCAAGGAATAAGCTTCTTACGGTAGCAGGTGCTGAGGTTCTCTGTGATGTGCCAGTTGGTAGGAAAGCGATCAACGTATTCGAGGGTCTGAACTTCTGTACGTTCTGGCAAGACCTTCCCAACAGAGTCAAGCTAAGACACAGAAGATATAATGACAGGATCTCAGAAACCAGAGAAGAAGTCCAAAGCGGAATTGGAGCATCTGGTCAAGTCCAATGGTGGCAAGGTCGTCCAGAATGATTCAAGACCCGGCACAGTCTGTATAGGCGACCAGAGTAGGTTTTCTTGGAGCATCGACTGCTCAAAGATGCTAATGGCACATAAGGGACCGTCCACGTTGCTTCTTTGTGCAAGCGTCGCAGTGTTGATATAATCAAATCATCTTGGGTTTTCGACAACATCCGGCAGAGCGAAGCGGACCAAGGCAGGCCTACGTTGCTACTGCCTTTAGAGCCAAGGTAGGATGTTTAGATCTCATTAACGGAAGGCATTATTTACTCTCGGCAGGCACATGTTTTTCACCACTGCGGAATCAGAATCTCAAATTGAAGGTGCTATAGATGAATACGGCGATAGCTTTGCCAGGGATATCACAGTGGGAGAACTCAAAGAGGTGCCGACATTCTCAGCGCCTTTCGAGAAAAAGAATGGAGAGACTGACCTTGACCAGATTTTCAACTCCAAGCCTGCCAAGTTCGAGCACAGCTTCAGTGCCAAGGAATTCAAAGGCGAGCTTGAGCAGCACGGACACGATCTGGGGGAGCTTCCGGGCTGGATGTTTGAAGGCTTGCTTCTCTACACTGACGGACAGCTTGCTAATGACGCTTCCTTGACGGACGAGAAATCGGATTTCAGGATGAAGCAAGCCTGTGATACTGCTAGGTTTGCTGGAGCGCGTCTCACGAACGATCTGAAGGAAGGCATCACGCATGTCCTCGTAGGAGAGGACAGAAGCACTACAAGGGCTTTGAGACAGAAAACATCCGAGTAACGCTGACGAAGCCGAGGTTTTCCTGGATGTACGTCTACTGACGTCGACTCAGGTTTCAACGCCTGCCACGCCTTGTAACGGTTGGTTGGGTCGAGCAAAGCTGGCAAGAGAGAACGCTGCTGGATGAAGACCGCAAGTCTACGTTTGGCAGATTGATTTCTGCCCTGTGATGTCGTAAGACGATAGATTGCTAATCATGTTGCTAGGGTTCGCGCCAACATGAGCGTCCTTGACCTCTGCAGTCTCGAGATGGACCACGTCGATCCGTAGCAAGTGGAGTTTACTCGAATGCCGAGGAAGTTTTTGGAGGGGCGCTATCCCAGGGTAGACAAGGTCGCTTGAGTGACTTGCATGATCGGGTTTCGAGTTAGAAGGTCAAGAGAGTTGTAAAGCAGGAATGCGTTTGCGTGAGCCGTAAGATATCCCGAAGCATGCTGCTAGAATGGATCGAACCTGCAGTAGGAGAATGCCGTAACGATCGTGGCAGACCGACTTTTGGTAAGCTTCAAAGAGGTGAATTGTGATATCATATGGGGTCTGCCCCGATAGCACCTTCATATTCTAGAATACCTTGGATTTCCATGTCTGCCGTCTGCATGAACGTTTTCCGTACGAGGAAGGTGGTAAGCCCGTCCGGCTACCACGATCACTTATTCGCCCCTTGCATGACCTTGCACGATCCTGGTGTCGGTGGCGTCACCAGCGTCCCGCGTCGCATCTCTCTACATGAACCATTTGGAAGCAATGAGACAGGACGAGTATCGTTCGCATCTTTCCAACACACTTTGGAAGCGCGAAATTAAGTTCGTGGAGGATAGAAATGTATACTGTTGAATCTACTCTATCGTGTTAGGTATCTATGTCGCTCAAACGCTATCAATAAATAACCCAAACCGTCGAGAACGATCAGGATCACGCCTGGACGCCCGCCCAACGTTGCGGCGTCCCCTTCTTCTCATCTTTTCCAGCCTCCTCTTCCAATCCCATCTTCCCGGTCTGCCGAGCCGGCAACCACAATCTTGCCCTGCCCGGGCTAGCGTCGCTCAGTTTGCCCACTTTCCGCATGTTCATCTCGAGCACGATGACACGAAGGAAATGGCTGTTCTCCCGAGGCTCTCGCTGACGAGGAAGCGACACAGGCGGGACGCCGTCTGTGGCATCAAGCGCCTGCTGCTGGGAGGTGAAAACGGGAGGCGAGGAGGCCTTGTCGGAGCCTCCCTCCCTTCGGCGGTAGGTTTGTAATTGTATGGATGCTTTGCAATCGGACTGTGATGACCAAGGACTCTCTTTTTCGAGGTGGTAATGGAGTTCCGAGGGCGATACTGTGATGGGGTTCAAATATCGTCGTAAGGCTGGGTCAGGCGTGTCGTCAGACGGCAGAGGCCGTCTCTCGTCGGTGAATTGTGGGGAGATGGATAGTAGAGATCGAGATAGATAATCATCCGGAGGAACGGCAGGCGCGGCAAACGTGGGGAAGGATTGGGCGGCAGACCGTATTCTCCGGAACGATGCTGTCAAGTTGGATTTGAACGAGGATCTGCTTCTTGCTGCATGTGTGGGCCCTGGGGACAATTCGTCTGAAAAGCCTTCACAAGATTGGTTCCCCAGGTCCCTCCTAGCCACTTGAGGCAGTAGCGGATGATCGAGAACGCAATCCTCGCCCTTGGATGCAGAGATACATTTCTGGCGTCTATCACATCCGCTGCGGCTGCCGATTGCTAGCTCAGGCGTTGCCGGGTCACCGGCCGAGTTCAGTGACTCCGTATCCGTTCCCAGAGATGGCATCGACTCGCTGGACATGGATCGGACCGACGATAACGGACCCAAAGTCGTGTCGCTCTCGAAGCTGCAGCTTTCCGGTTCGGACCCTTCTGGTGGGCCGAGTAACATGCCCCACGACTGGGGGCTACACGATGAAAATGCGCGCCTCGGGATCTCTTTGAGCCTTGTGTCCTGCTTCCCACTTCCAGCACGAATCGATCCTTTGCGCCAATTTTCTGCGCGAGGGTGATACTTTGGCTCTGGCAACGAGGTCATGGCAAGTAAGGCTGCAACAGACGAAGGCGTCGAGGACGAATCGTGCGGGCTGCTAATGTCTTTCCGTGTTCGGTCTCGGGACATGGAGTCCTTGCTTTTCCTTCGGTCTCCATTCCTAGTCTTGGTGGGGATTACGACTGGTTTCGTGGTTGACTGGGGTGTGAGCACTTTTGGCGGCATGCCTGATTTTGGAGCCTTGTCCTTTCTCGAGACACGCTCTGCCACGGAGATGGGCATTGTTATCTCATCGTTGTGTTTTGTAGATGTACTGGAGGGGTGGGAGTTGTAGAGGTATGCCCGGGGAACCATCATGATGGGAAGGTACGGGCAGGTGTTTGGGCCGATGTCAGGAGTGAATAGGCGACTCGAAGGAGCCCGGCGGTGATGGGCCAAGGGGCAAAGGATTCGTCGGACGAGTAAGAGTCCCACAGCGGAGGTTCATCTGTGCGCGAGGAGACAGGTCCGACGGAAATGGCGGATAAGTGAGAGATGCCAAGTCAGTCAGCTCGCTCGCGTGCACGGGAAGAATGCTTCGTGCTTTTCTTTTCCAAGATGAAAAAATGAAAAGGGCAGGCAAGAGAGAGAGCGAGAGAGCGGGAAACGGCTGCACGGCATGACCTGCGATGACGGGACATGAGTGGCGAAGCAAGGAGTCGTCCGTGCGCAGAGGTGAAGGATCAGTGGTGTACATTATTATTCGGTGAATAGCGATTGATTATTAGAGTGGGGATGAATGGATAAGGTAGATAGTAGTGAGGTAGTAGTAATAGAGTAATAGTAGTAGTAGATAGGCTCGCTCATGTCCGTAGGCTGAGTTTCGATGTTCGGGTCGGGGGGGGGGGCGCTGGTCAGAGCACTGGATGTCGGCATGCATGAGAGATAAGGATATTTCTAAGAGCACACGAGCGGGCCACCGTATCAGGCAGGCTACGAGTAATGTATCAGCGCAAATGCCTCCATATGGCCATAGGCTAAAGTAAATACTAAGAAGTAGGTAAAAAGTAACTGATAATAATGCTACGAGTACCTCAGTAATCGCTTTCTTTTCTGTGCAAATCCATAGGCTAAAGGAAAGTGTAAAAGGTACCTTAGTAAGGTAAGGTACTCTAGGTACTACGACGTGTGCCTTGTTAAGGTACTTTATTTATTACATCACATGTGAGCCTGAGGCTGACTTGCTGGCTGTGTAGGTACCACCAATACAAACCCTCTTTCCAGACCAGGTATATACTTTACCTAGGCAGGAGCGGAAGTACCTCCGCTGCTCTCCACACTTTTTCTTTTCACACCTTTCACTTCACATCTCCCGCATCTTTCATCACTGACCCAACTGACTGTCAGCGGAGTGTATAGGCCAAACTATCCCATCCTCCTGCTCCGCTTTCTTCTCCCTGCATATCGAGATGGAGATTGAAGAACAACGACACAGGGTCAAAATCTCAGCGACGTTGCATAATGCTTATTACATAAAGGATAAGTCATAGCCCGCTTGTCCGCAAGATTGGCTAACAAACTCCCGGTCTTTGGTGCTACTTTAGACCTAAGGTAAGGTACTTTACTACTACTAGCTCGCTCGTCATCAGACAGGCAGAGCCTCAAAAGTCTTTTGACTCTCCGGGCACGAGACCAATACCATGTAAAATAAGTAGAACTCAACAAATGGGACGAGGCCTTAAAAAGCGTGTGACTGTCTCGCTCTGGAGAATGAATATCATTTTTTCGCCAACACAGCAGCATCCTTCAAGGGTGACTCAACCTACGCTGGCTTCCACTCATAGTGATGATGCCCCGTTTCGGGCCCCCCCGCTGGCTCCGACTTCAAATCGAACATGTGTTTGCCGAAGAAGTCCAGCTGCGCTTCATAGAATTGTGTCGGCAAGATTGTATTGACGGAATATTTCAGATACTCCAGTGAAGCGCTCAAGCTCGGGATAATGGCATTTGTCTGAACCCCCATTGCTACGACTCGCTTCAGAGCTGCAAAGTTAGCCGATAGCTCCTTCGCTATACCTTCGTTATGGAGGAGATCTCGGTCCGTGTCCTTTGGAGTCTTGAATATTTCTTCGAGCAAATCAGCAATGTACTACAGCCCAACGTTAGCCAATATCCACAGGGGAATACCCTCGACCTTACATCAGCTTTGATGATGCAGCCATTTCTCCAAATCTGGATGACTTCGCAAAAGTTGATGCTCCATTTGTTCTCCTGGTCCGCTAAGTCGATAACGTTGATGCCCTGTACGAACGCTGCAAGGAATGCTGTGTAGACTGCTTTGCGAAGGTCCTCAAGGAATGCAGGCTTCTCTTCCTCGGATCCTGTCCACTTTTCCAACGGAAAGTGACCTCCAAAGGTGGCCTTGATCTTCTTTCGATCTTTTCGGAAGGCGGATGCTACGCGGACATAGTGGGCGTCTGAGAGCGTCGGGGCAGGTACATGCAGTCGGATGGCCTCTTCTGAGGACCAAACCTATCCTTGTGGTTTAGTCTCCAAGAAGGCCTTCATCAAAGGTCGTGCACTTACCCCTGTTCCCTCTGTGCCATCAATGTCCTGAACAACTTTGTCTTCCACTACAGAAAGGACGTGCTTGCCCTTGTCGTCTCTCTGCTTATTGATTTGAGCTCCAATATCTATTAAAAATGTGCCTCTCTGCAAATGAAGTCAGGTCTATGATGAAGTTCTGGCAATAACAGATTGTGTACCAGCTCGCCGTCCGTGTTCCATTTGGCGAATACATCCCCAATCTCATCTATGGCAAACGTCAGCTCTGTAAAGAATTGCCCTGGGCGCAGACCCTTACCGTATGTCATACCCAGACCTAAGTTCATGATTTGCCAGGCTTCTGCTTGCGCACTCATCATGCCTGTTTGCCCATCAATTCTTTCAGATCCTATTATGTGTCGGGATCTCCCCAAGGGCCGTACCATGCTCAATGCCGTTGTGAATCATCTTTACATAATGGCTATGAACCGGTCAATGAAGAAGAAAGCGGATACTTGGTAGATGGAATAACCCTGAGCCTCCCATTCCGCATCTGCCTACGCAGGGATTTCCACGCGCGTCACGGGCAGCCACCTTCTGGAGGAGAGGCAGCACCATGTCCAGAGCTCGATCCTCACCGCCGGGACACATTGACGGGCCACGACGAGCGGCTTGATACCCACCTGAGACCCCCATGCCCTTTGCAGAACTTAGATGCGGCCGTTGCTTTGTTCTGAAGAAGCCAAAGACTTACCACATAGTGGACGCCTTGAGTGACAAGTTTTCCTTGGCGGCGTTGCGTATTCCGCCAATTTTCATTAGAGGCATCAATGATCAAGTCACCCTTTTCAAGATAGGGATGTAGTCCCTCCACAACAGAATCGCCAACAGTTCCATGCGGTAAAGAGAAGACGAAGACCTTTGGAGAGTCCAGGTTCTTACATAGATCTTCGTAATCCAAGTGTTTCTCCAGCTTGTTTCGGATCCCGTCCTTCTCCGCAGTCTTCAACAGGCTATCAACGGTAGCTTCGCCCGGGTCGTTGAGTAAGACAGTAATCCCATGCTCTGCGAATAACAGCGCCATGCCTCCACCCATGCTCCCACAGCCAATCATGGCGAGCTGGTTGTATGGCAGTCACCTTAGCTCAACATGCGCAAATCTGCAGGTGCACCTCGTAACCCCGCTCACTCACCTTCTTGATTTCTGGAACGTTGGCCATTCTTACCAATCTTACCCCGTTCGTAACGTTATGGTCAAAAGCTATCACACGCTGACTTCCCAACAGACAGGAATACAAGATTCTTTCGTCAATTGAAGACGTGAGTATTTGTAACGTCACGTTCCCGGCTTAGGACGTCATTCACGGCAAGTAGCGGCGTCTTATGATACGCCAATACACTAGAACTTTACTTCAAAGTCGATTATCCATCTACTTCAAGTGCTTGAGATTGTAAGGTATTGGCTGATTCTCATCATCTAAACTTCGGGTAAAGCGTTTCGAATAGCCAAAGCAGCGGTTTCGCACCGTGCAAACAACCAGCATCAATATCTCTCGATGAGCCAACTTCTCCTCTTCACCGGTTCCATCTTCTGCAGCATCTCGCTCTCTGCTCGCTTCACCGTCAAATAAGTATCCACAGCTGGCTTGCTAAGAACGTGTTGAAGCTGCTCGTCCGCTTCGAGATAGCTTAGCGCTTCACTTATGCTTTCGGGAAATTGTTCTGTGATTCCAAGCTCCTCTCTTTCCTTGGCTGTTATTGTTGACGGGTCGTTCGGGCAATCCTTCATTTCCAAGGGCTCTTCGTCTAGGATGCCTTGCAGTCCTGCTCCGATAATAGCGGCCAGGACAAGGTATGGATTCGATAGGCCATCTACACATCGGATTTCGAAATGGGAACCTTCGATTCTTCTCAGCGGCGTCTCGCGATTTTGTGTGCCCCTAGGCTCGCATATCAGCGCCGCAAAGCCTTGCAATGGAGAGAATCCATTGGTAAAAGACCGAAGCATAAGACGAACATATCAAAGGAGTGGGGAAGAATGGTGGTAATGGTTGCGGTCTTACCATGCAATCCAGGTACTGCCCGCCCAAACGCCGTCTGCCACCCGTTCGTAGCTGGCGTCATTCGAGTAAGAGAAAGCTGCAATGGCCCTCAGGTGCTTCAAAACTCCCGCATAGAACATCTCCCAGTAATGAGCAGGCGTCAAAGATATATGAATGTGCGCTCCGGTGCCGATGGCTTGGGGAGCAGGCTTGGGGAACAAGGTTGCTCGCATGCCAGCATTTGCAGCGGCTGATTGAATAATCTCCTTCGCAGCCACAAGCGCATCTACAGCGAGTACGGGAGGTAATGGGCCCAGAATAAATTCGAATTGACCTGCACTGCTCTCGGGGTGAAATTGCTCAAGGGTCAGGCCGGCACGCTCCAACTTCTCGAATATGGTCTCAATAACGTCCATGAGATCGTCTGAGTGGAGCGCTCGTGCGCTAGACCAAGCGTGACCCTCATCTATTGGAACACCGCCATAGCTGATTTCACCGTCTTTGATCTCTTTGCTCATGAATACGACCTCGATCTCAAATCCGACTAGCAATTCCACACCATGAGTCCCAGCTTTCTCAATTTGTTTACGAAGCGATGTCCTAGGGCAGCTCGGCACTTCCTCCCAATTACTTCTCTGGAACTCGCACTGGACGGTTGCGTACCCTTTGCGGCTCCCTAAGCGGAGACCTGGTGAAGATGTCGGAATCAGCAGTTGCCCTTGAAATGCACAGATGGGTCTAAGGAGCCCAAAGTGCACGTACCGGCAAATTGAGGGTACATGATGTACTCGTCCGTTGCTGAAAAACCAGGGCAGATAATATCCGGTTGCAGAATGCCAAGAACCGCTTCAACAATCCCGACAAATCGACCCTCGCTGAACATCCTGAGCGCTTGCTTGATTGGTAGTATCCTTAAGCGGAGAGTATTTGTATAATCTAACCATTGAAGCCGCAGAAATTGGACGGAAGGCTCTTGGTCTAGGAAGGGTTGGAGTCGGGCAAGGTTCTTGGTCCAGGAGGCCTTTGACGGGCTTATATCCGACAAAACGGTAGAAGTGATCGGCACAAGAGGGAGCTCCAACTCGTATAGCTGATTTGCTGTATGGAACAATATGTCTTGCACAATCTTGACCGCCTCGGTACTTGTCAAAGACCCTCGCTCGATGCACGTACCCAAGACCCTTCGCAGTCCTTCCCGGATCTGTATAACAGCCAAGAGATACGTTTCTGGAAACCAGTGACCGTCTTCGCGGCAAACAGCGTCAACTATGAGCTTCTCTACTGATTGGAAATCAGAATGGTAGGAAAACTGACCAGTGCTCCACGTCAGTTTCTCGGACGGACAAAGTTCCAAAGCCTGTTCGATGACCTTCTCTTGCCCGTACTGACTGACCATGGGGAAGACTTCTCCAATGTCAAGCCAGCAGTTTTTATAGACGCTTGCGAGGTAGCCCGCCTCTCTTGTGAATGGATAAGAAGCATGGAGAAGAACGATGCGGACTTCCGGGTAACTTTCGATGAAGGGTTGGAGGTGACTGGGATTAGACAATCCAAGATCGATACTACCAAAAAGATTAGTGAAGGAGTGACTCCTCGAAACATTGTCTTGTGGGGTCGTACTCATTGTCTCCGAGCTAGAACATGATGGATCAATACCGAGTTCATGGGACCTAGCACGGGATTTCATACGTACTCCGGTGTGGAATTGAAAGGGTTTCTTTGATCCGCTGCGCTCTATTACTTTCGCCGTCAGATGAACAAGGTCAGGGTTCAATCTTTCGTCCTCCAAACGGCGCGAGAGCCTTTCCAGATCCTCAACCGAGAGGGGAACAACGCTCGCATCGTCATTGAATGCTGGGATCTTGAGACCTACTCTGTAGCAAATAACAGATTTGAAGCCAGCAACCTCAGGGTCAGAAATCGCTTCCTCGATAGCAGCAGTGAAACGACTCATGATTTGTTCCCGAATTTCGATATGTTTTCTAGGGGCCCGTCCACGATATTGTTCAAGCTGATCGGTCATGATATTCTCTGCAACCTTCTCAATTCTAACAATTCTTTTGCATTTAGATCGTGTCAATTGATCATGCCAGTCGTATGGGAAAACGCTTGATGGGTCCAGGCCGTCATCCATGAGTACCGTTTCGATTCCTTGAAAGCACTTTCGGGCCCAGGCGTTACCAGGTTCTTTCCTCTTCATCCTGAGTGCGCCCTTAACGGTCTCCCAGTTTGGTTCACACTTGAGGACTTCGGAAAGTTGTTTGAGAGCACGGAGATGCGAAAGAGTCGAAGAGGCAAACTTGAGAGCTGGTCCAGTCGCTTCAGACTTGACGATTTCGGAGTCAGCATTACTCTTTCGGGAGGATTTGAGAGTCGCAAGACATGTCTTAGGAGCAGAGAACTCTTTCGACATATCTGACGACTCATAAGGCAGCAAGAATGGAGAAGAATTGCCTTGGGAGGTATAACGTACGGTGGCCGCCATGAAGTCATGGTCGTCTACGTCAGAACTCAGGAGCAGATTATGCGCATGGTGGTCAATTATTGAAGTGGTGTTGATCGCATGGATGAGAGCGTCCATGGCTGCTGCTGCTTCTAAGATGAGCGACTAGCAAGTCTCGATGGAACAAGAATTAACGGAAGCATGCACAGCTTTCTGTTGCGATAGGAAACTGACTAAGACCACAGCGCAACATGTTTGAACAACAGGATACGACACGCGTTTTATACTACGATCAATCGTAGAGTTGATGTTCCGCGGGAACTCCGCCGAAACTTCACCGAAGGATTGGCGGTCTAGAGTAGGGAGGCTAGGAGCAGGTGTGATCATGTCCGGATCGCCTGGGAAGGAGCGGGCTCGGAACTTCGTAAAATAGTGGCGCTATTATCATGAGTGCGTGTATATTTCAACCCTCTCACTTTGCAGTTTGGAAACTCGCATGATGGCGTTCGCAATTCTTTGCTTAGCCTGGATGTGTCCAAAGTAATTTGCCCGCTTCTACGCCAGACTGCTCGAGCACTTTTCCCTTTCCGCCAGCATCCTTGCTGACTTCTAACGTTTCTAGACCCTTTACAATATGCAATGGGTCCGTCTCCTTGGTCACCTCTGTCGGTCCAGCCAGTCCTGGCGGTGGCAGAGCCCAGTCCGGCAGCGGAGTCTCGTAGTCCCAGTTCCCTTCTTCGCACGCGTATCTCCTGGCATGCAAGTATATCCCCAGCTCATGCGCACCAGGATCACTGTACAACGGCGTATCACATATGTCACAGAGGTGACCTGTCATCTTCTCGGCTTTCGTCTTGTTGTACTCGTCCATCATTTCATCGTGATAGGCCATTGCCTCTGCAACTTCTGATTTGCCCATCCTCGAGAGACGTGAAATGATGTCTTCGTCGTTGTCTGAAAGAGCGTCGCCAGCCGCAAGAGAAGGGCCAAACACCCTTTGATTGCAATAAATAGGATCGTTGGAGATAGGATGGCCAAGAAATTGTAGGTGTACCCGAAGCTGATGCGTGCGACCAGTGACAGGACGACAACGCACAATTGAATGACCTTCTTTGCCTTTCCATTCCATCTTCGAGTCTCGAATCTTCTCTTTCTCGGATCTATTGTCTTCTTGTTTCCCTTTGCCGTCCTCGAACTTTTGTGCTGGTGGGTAGTAAGCCAAGCGCTTGAACACGGTTCTTGCTTCCTTGCCACTCGCTCTGGCCCTATTGAGCCCAAGTTTTGGACTGATTTGCATGACTGGCTGCTCGCATACGATATCTCCCTCAGGAAAATCTCCAATGACCCTGGCCACGTATTCTTTCTTCACGCTCCTGCCTTGGATCTGCATACTTAACCTTTCAGCGGCTCTAGCGTTCTTACCGATGAACATGACGCCACTAGTCAGTCTGTCGAGTCTGTTGCAGGGCAAAGGATTCCATGCATGGCTCCTCTCCGCGCGCATGATTTCGATGATAGAGTTGAAGTTGTAGCGACCGGCAGGATGGACTGGTACGCCCGCAGGCTTGTTGATGACGATCATACCGTCGTCTTCATGAACAATACCAATGGGCTGAGCGGTCACAGGAGGTTCGTGTCGATGTAGCGTATGGGATATTATGTCGCCGTTCTTGACGGTGGCTTTGACAGTCGGTACTCGGACTCCATTCACGACGACATTGCCCCGCTCTATAGCGTCTTTCTGAGACCCGTCAGCGAATTATCCTTGTGGCGAGGTTAAGGACTTCACACATAGTAAGCCTGTGGCCTATCTCGAAATTCGGTAGCAAAGACATCAAGCAATTCTCTTCCACGCCATCTCTCCTTGCAGTAGGTGTTGTATGTATAGTGATACGGATGCACCTTACGAAGGCCATCTTCAAGATAGTATGGACGCGGCCAAGGATCACAAGGGGTCGTGATAACGTCTGGTGAAGCAATGAAAGCTTGCTTATCTTTCTGTCGGCCATCTCCTTGATCTGCCTGTGGGTCCACGGCGGTCAGCGCCATGGCGGACATCGCATGGCTCTTGCGTGCCAGGTACGCGGCGATACGGGGTGAGGGAGCCAGTAGAGCTTTTGTATAAGTGACGGACTTTCTTGTCAGAGGCTAACAAAATATTCTTCTAGATTTGCGGGCGGCTAAACTTCGGGTGTAGTGTTTTGAACCTCCCAAGGGTCCTCACTTCAGCTCTTGATTCGAGGGATTCAAATGCTAAAGCCAGACTCTCAATAGCGATAAGGAGTAAGTCCCAGCAAAGGAGAAACGGTCTACGATGTCTTCTGCTCAGTTGAAACAACGACATCAGGAAGATTACGGTTTCCATCTCGAGTACAGAACACGATGGTCGGACAATGACATGTATGATCATATGAACAATAGCGTGTATTCCTTTCTATTCGACTCCATCATCAATTCCTACCTGATTGAGCATTGTGGCCTTCGTCCTCCTACGTCCCCCCAGATTGGTCTCGTTGTCCATTCAACTTCCGACTATTTCGGGTCAGTGGGATTCCCCTCAATCGTGGATCTGGGCTTGCGTGTCAACAAGCTGGGAAAGTCAAGTGTCACATATGAAGTTGGAGTCTTCGAGCGCGGGAAGGACGATGTGAGGGCTGTAGGTGGATACACCCACGTCTTTGTCGAGAGGGAAACAAACAGGCCTGCTGCTAGTGGAATGTCGGAAGAGATTAGGAGGGGTTTAGAAAAAGTTCTAGTAGATGTGCAGCCTAAACTGTGATGCGAACTTAACGTTTACTTCACACGGCAGTACATGTCTAAGCGTGAACGCAAGTCTCAGGGTGACCACACGTCCAATGGATGAATGCAGTTCCAAGGCTTGATACAGGTCCAAGAGATGATCAAAGTTCCAAGACGACCCATAAGTTGAAGGGTCCGACATATCAGAACACTTGACAAGGCTCGGGAGGGGATCTTACCTAGAAAATCCAGCCTTCAAAACCGAGAAAACTCCTCGTTGATACTGATCCCGTCGATATATCGAAAATCTGTTCCACTTCGACTATCACTTTTTTGGGCATCTCGCCAGAGGTGATTGCAATTCAAGAGCGGTTGCAACTTCAATTGCTGGATTTGAAGCCAGCCGATTAATACAAGGCCAACAGATGAATGCCAAACCGCCAAACATAACCCTGCTAGTAGACTCAAGCCTGACCTTGAATGGACGCCAAAAGCGAGTATAAATAAGATGGTGAGTAGAGGTACGGCAAAGAAGTGAGAGCTAAATGAACGTCAAAAACAAATACAAGTCAGATAGTGAATACAGGTTGAAAAGGGCAAATGAGCCAGATGATAAACAAACCAAACGGTGAACACAAAGCAGACCGTGAATATAAGCCAGTCGGCGAATGAAGATAAAAATGTACTTGCATATATATGGCACATTTCAGTAACACAGGACCCAGAATCACACAACATCGACAACACAGCATTCACAACAGAGTAGTCAACTCCTGTCATCTGTGTCAAGCACTAATGAATTCTAGTCTATATCCACGTCGGCAGGTTGTTGATTGACTTGACCATACATATCAACCTCCGATCTCCAATCTCGCCACACGAAGATCTAATTACTCGGCTTCCTGCCGCAACGCTTACTCGACGCAACTATCCTGCTGCACTGTACCAGGCCATTGGTTGGAAGGCGATCTATCCAGGGCTCACAAGGTCGCTCACACCCGGAAAGTTAAGAGGCTCGACGATTGAAAGTCCATTTTCGAATGGATCAAGCAAGCGATAGCCAGCAGGCTACGGGAAATCATCCATCGGCTGATTGGACAAGTCAGCTCGTAAAATGGCCTTGCAGTGACACGTCCACGAAAGCTCTCAAGAAGCTTGCCTGTGTCCGTGAGCTTACTCTACGTCACCGCCGCGTTGATCTGAACTTCAAACCCAAGAAAAATCAAGAAGCGGCTTTGGGACAGATCTGTGGGGAGCTTGCACTTGCAGCATGTCGACGCTGTGTAAACGATAAAGGGCCGTTCGTGGAATGTGTTGTTGTTAGGGGTAGTTTCGCCAAATCGTGCTGCAACTGTCATTACAGCTCACAGGGACTATCATGTTCTTTCCGAGGCATAGGTGAGCATTTCCTGCGGGAATCTCTTGCGACAACTGATCGATGCCTGTAGAGTCAGTCCCTATTTTATCGACGCCGAATGGGCTGAATGCCACCAGTAGAATCTTGGATGAGCAAGCAAAACCTGCACAGATGGCAAATTATCAGCCTGGACCTTCGGCGGTTCTCGCAGGACCACAAGTTTCACAGTCCGACAACAACTCCGTCTCAACACGGCTCAGATCTAAGAAGGACGACCTCCGAAAGCGGCCCAATTTCAGCGCAAACTTTGCCTTTCCACGGACGGTTGTCGGTGTTACAACCAATGAGCCACTCACTCGCAAGCGTCAATGGCAGGAGACCACAACTACTGGTCCCGCACTAGAACAATGGCCGCCGGAGCGGGGAACTGACGCCGTCGATCAACAGTCTGAGGAGACTGTTCTATGCCTGAGGGAAGAGATTCAGCGCCTAAGGCGTGAGAAATCCGACCAGCAAGCTCGGCAACTTGCATTGATCAAAGGATTCGTCTCTTCCGCTGCGGTGGTCGAGATAGCTGTTGACGTCCGAGAGGCAGAGCTACGCTGCGGACTGAGAAACATGAGTGGCACTCCTGAAGAGATGCAAGAGCAAGCACAGCAGATGATTGACTTCTCGAAAGCTACCTCTTGGCATGTGAGCAGGTTTGTCAACGATATGTTGGAGGAGCAACGAGTGTTTCTCTATGACGATCAGCAGAAGGCAATGCGGCTTGAATACGACAAGGCAGAGCCTAGCCAGGCAGTTACGGCTATCATCGATGAAGAGCTGTCTTTCATGACGAGACATTCCTGACCATAGGTATTGCTCGTATTAACGCAAATCTGTGAAGACAGAGGTTGAGCATAGAACATCAATAGATGAGGTTAAAGCTGAAGGCATGAAAATTCATGACGAAAATCAAGAGTGACATGAATGTGACTTGTAGTTCTCTTGCTTCGTAGACGAGTAGGGTTTCCTAGCGTTCATGTTGGCTTGACTTGACCCGTCTGGTGCGTGTTACAGACATGAATGCCACGTTAACAATTAACACAATGCATTTGCTCTCCGACCACAGAATTCCCTCTTATTGATCTATCTACCTATCCACCTATCTACCTACTTATCTACCCACCTACCTACCTACCCGAAAAGGCTTTGGGCGAGTTTGGTTAACCTTAACCATGGCCCTTCCAACTTTCAACACCAAATCGCCCACCATAAAGCGCATCCTGAAAGAGGCAACCGAACTCTCTAGTCATCCTGACCCAACTTTACACGCCGCTCCTCTCGAATCCAATCTCTTCGAATGGCACTTCACTCTCCAAGGTCCGCCGTCCACTCCTTACAGCGAGGGTGCATACCACGGCCGCATAATATTGCCTCCGACCTACCCATTGCGCCCACCGTCCTTCCGCTTCCTAACGCCCTCAGGCAGATTCGAAGTGAACCGCGAGATCTGTCTAAGTATCAGCGGACATCATGAAGAGACGTGGCAGCCTGCGTGGGGCATTAGGACAGCATTATGGGCCTTGAGAGCATTTATGGAGGGAGATGCCAAGGGTCAAGTGGGAGGGATGGAGATGCCTGAGAAGGAGAGAAGGAGACTGGCAGGTGAGAGTAAGACTTGGAAGTGTCAAGGATGTGGGGGAAGGAGTAACAAGGATATATTGAAGGAAGAGGGCGGTGAGGCTGGGGAAGGGAGCGCCAACGAGCATGTCGTGCCTGAAGAGCTGAAATTTGGCTTCAGGGATCAGATGGCAGCTGCGGAGGGTAAAGATATGGCGAAGGACAAAGGTATGCGGGTTGTTACTACGCCTGCTCCAGATCCATCGCCTGCCAGTGCTTCGGCAGCCTCACCATCACCTCCGACTTTGTCACCACCCGAGGCTATCCACCCAACGAGGACAGTGCCCGTTGCCTCAGCTTCTCACGTGCCCCCACCGTTGCCTACCGCCACCCAGCAAACCCAGTCGGATGGTGTCCCAGCATGGGTTGATAAAGCTATTACCGGGCTTGTAGCTGCCTTAGCGGTCATGATTATCAAGAAAATTTTGCTCTGAGAAAGTCGGGGTCTGCGAGGCAAGGAGTTGCATTATACCAGGTTGCGGCTAGGTGGTATCATCTTCTACTGGGTTGGAGTTTCAGGAGCAAATAATGCATGATCATTGGTATCGAAGATTACGAGTGTCACTTTTGCCTGGTCAGACAAAAGAAACCGAATAAGGCATCTTACCTTGTCCACCTCCCTCTCTTTATCCGCAAAGAGAGCCTCTCTGTGCAGTGACTCTACGGAAAAGTTGCTTTCGATAGCCATTGCCGAGGGCTGGTATCATTCCCGTCATAAGTACCGGAAAAGTGCATACTCAGGCCGTTTCATAGGGGAGCAGATTGATCAGGGTCAGTGGGCTTTAGGTAGAACACCCTTTGATTTTGCCCAAGGAGGGAAAGAGGAGCCCAACCGGAGCCACTTGGTCTAGGGAGGGGGAACGCTGACAATTACAGCTTCCCCATACCAAGCCTTCATCTCTCCGTTTCTGCACGGATCAATCCCAAAAACCTCAGAGCTTATGACAGTCAACTACGCAGTCTTCAGGCCTAGACCGCTGCTTATGCGAGGCGAATGCACTAAACCTGGGTGAACGAGTCCCTAAAGGGCTCGACGTTTCAAAGAGCGAAAGACTCCAAGATGTGGGAGCTACAAATCGTGCATGTTCGTGAGTCGCTGTCTCCGTCCATAGTGGTGCCTGATGGTCCACTCGGCTGGGCTCAGACCTTGTGGCGATGGCATCTTGTGTTATTCCCCAGGCGGCCAATGAGCCGCCTGTATTCAAGGAGCAAAATCGGAACGCCGTTAGTCACTGTACACACTATGAAATCGGCTAATGAGTCCCCTCTATTCAAGGAGCACAGTCGGAACGCCGTCAGCCACCGTACACATTATGAAACTGCTCGGAGAATAGGTCAAGTGTTAATGATTAGCATCATAGCAGTCTATGAGGCCTTGGATATGTCATTAGCTCATTCCCTATACAAGTTCACTGGTATAAACTTCATCTTCTCCCCTCAACTCTACGTTGCAACTCCTGCAAGACTACAACCTGCATCTCCCAACCTCGGACGCCTCGACCTGTCATGACAGAATCTCCGGTCTGCAAACCCCGCATGGACCTCTCCAACAACCTTCTCTTCCGCCTCAGCCTTTACTACATCTTCGTCAGCCCCGAGACATGGCAAGTCGCCTCATTGCTGAATCAACTCCACAAAATCGCACCAGGCATAGCTACACAAGAGGTCAAATCCACCTACCTCGGTTTGCATGACACAGAGCATCCTATGTGGGTCCGAGCCAAAGACATGGCCAGGCAGGAGCCGGATGAGCTGAAGCGGATCATGCGAGATGAAATTGGGTTGGGGGGCGAGAGGTGGGACGTTCGTGTGGTGAATCCTGTGATGCCGATGGCTATGTTGAGGTTGATCAGGGATTGAAGCACAAGGAGGAGGATCGAACAATAATCATGCATCGAGAACAGATAGGCAGGCGGGCGAAAACTTGGGAAACTCTAGGCGGCACTGAGGTGGAGATTGAAACCATCATAGTCCTACAGTAAGGCAAGTTGTACAAGAAACAAAATCCCAAGAGCTTTAATACTTCCATCTTTACACACTTTGTGGACGCCAAACAGACATCGAACAAAGATTATTCGACACAGAAAAAACGACTGCTCCGAATCAAGACCACGATTGTTCAAGACCCATTCCGTTACAGATTTCAGTGTTTCTGGCAGTGCACCCCGTTGAGACTAAGGCAATCGAGTTCCCCCCCTTCCACGACTTGTGCTCGATCCTTCTACTGAGCTGTTGGTGCTGCTATCATCATCAATTTCATATCTGCAATATACAATCCAAGGGTTCGCCATCGCTTCTGAGCATATTTTCCAACTGTGCAGATATCAGCCCCTTCCTTACCGCGAATTGCTAGTACCACTCACCAGCTCCAGATCTGCCAAAGCCTCTTCCGGTCTCTGCTTCTCATTACATTGCCCCGCCGCCAGCGCTTCTCCCCACTTCCTCACCTCAGGCGGGACGCCTGTCCTTTCATCGTCGACTACACTCTTCTCTTCCTTACCCTCGACGACTGTAGTTACAGTAGACCCGAAGACGGAAAGACTGACAGTACCACCTTCGCAAGCTATATTGAATTCATACCCCGTGAAGGATGTGCCGAATGAGACAGAAAAGGTACCAGTGGCGCCGGACTTTGTTTTCATGGCGGCATCAATGGTGTCCACCGGAGGCAGATGTTTCTGTAATTGAGCTGAAAACGCCGATAGACGGGTGATGGTGTTCTCAGGACCCAGTAAGAGCCGTAAGCCTGCCGTGACATGTACACCCCCATCGAGGAGAAAGCCCCCTTGATGGGTAGGATTTTTACGCCATTCGGTTTCTTGGAATGGTCTTAGCAGCAAACCACAGATACAACCGGCACACACCCATACCAAAGTATTTCCCTCCCTTGACCATGGAATACCTCTTTGCCCTGAACCCGAGAAGTCGCCCGGCCTTTTGCACCTGCTCTCGCGCATACTCGAAGCTGGCGAGGTAACGAAAGTTCTCCGCAACGCTCCACGTCACCTTCTTGCTGTCAATGTTGGCATAGTACCAACTGATTAACTCCTGAGCGTCTTTGACGTTCTCTGCTATGGGCTTTTCCGACAAAACATGCTTGCTAGCGGATAATGCGAGACGAATGTATTCGGCCTGCTTGGGAATGGGAAGACTGATTGGCGAGTCAATACGGAAAAGTTCAGCTGTGAAGGGTGTCAAACGCTATGATGACGGCCTGGACATCCGATCGTTTCAAGAGGTCAGCGCAGCTTTTACCAGAGCCTGAGTCGTCAGAGTAGAGTTGAACGTCGCTGTCGACGGCAAGGCTTTGCGCGCTTTTCAAGGACCTCGAGTACACCGCCTTTAAGGTCAAGTCTTTCGATGCCCGGACGGCCGGCTGTCAAGGATCAGACTAGAAGGGGAAGATGAACTCTGCATGCTGACAAGGTGTTCTTCCCTAGCGAAGATGCCTATGCCATATCGCGAGGAACGAGTTAATATCAGCGCTCCAAGGAGACCTGTCGCAACACGTACCACCTCCAATAATAGCCACGCCTACTGTCATCATGTACTACTCTACGGCAAATGGTGAGGCTACTCGTAGAGTTTTGTTGAATGATGGTATGAGATTGGTGGATGCATGTTCAAGAAGCTTGGGATTGAGTTTCTAGTGCCTTGAGGACATGGTCATCAAGGTAGGTACCTGCCTTTGTTTACTACCACGCTACTAGAGTTCTTGAAGCAAAGACCATCATGGTTTACTCTTTACTCTTGTGAGCTATGAACACTCACTCAATCATTTCGCCAGCACCAACCCTAGATCGAAAACCCTAGACCTTTCGATCTCTTCGTCGACATTAGACTCGCCTTATAATCACCGGAGAACAGCACTTTGTAACTTCTTTCGAGCTTTCCAGCCTCCACTCCCATTCGCCGACGCCATTCCCATTCTTCTCCGCGAAGAAGTGTCCACCAGGGGACACCTCTTCTGGCGATTGCATCTGAGTAGCATGGCCCGATCCTTGTCACATCCTGAGCCACTGCCACGTTTGTACTCCCTTTGGCGACCACCGTTTTTCGTTGCTCCCGATCATCTTTCTTCACTTTCGTCATCCCGTCTACCGCCTTCCTTGAGGCCATCAATATCAACGTGGAGACTGGGCGCCCAAGACAATGGTTGTTATCATTCCGTGCTTACTTTTTGAGTCAATTTCCCTATGGTGACCCTAAATTATCGGTGCGAAGCAGTTGTTGGACTACCGCAGATGGTAGTGTTGTACCTCTGCTATCAGATGTTGAAGGAACATTGGAATGTGAGAATTATGAATCCATTGCGCTTTAGCGCTTCCCGCCCTTAACTTCGAAAACCCCAGAGGCACACTCCTAAGTAAGTAAACAATTCTTCTTCCATGGGGACGGTAGATTCAAAAAAATTTCAAAAAGTAAATCCTTTGTACATTCTATGTGATACGTCTATCGTTTAGCATCTCGCCAATGTCATGTCTGTTGCCAGCTTCGATCTAAAAGGGGTATCAACCTGAAATAAAAACCCTCCACTTCCAAATGAACGCGGATGCAGCATCTAGACTTTAGCCGTGCGTAGATGATGCCAAGTGCATGCATCGTGCTCTGACTTAGCATAAAACATTCTCAATCGTTCCGTCAAGTTCCATCGTGATCACGTCTTGGACATTCTCCCCTTCTCTCTCTTTTCCATTTTCCTTTCCATCTCCTTTCTCGCCTCCCTTTTTGTCTCCCACATCTTCACCTGACCGCTCCTCACTGTTCCCGCCAGTCCCCAAAGCCAACCACCACCACTCATCCTCGACACTGAACCCTTGGCCGACTCGTTTCGCGGCTTTTGCATTGACCAGCCATTCAAGGATCTCTTGCAGCTCCCAAATATCCATAGCCGGTCTCATCACTTTCTCTAACTCCGAAGCCCCAACACCAGGTCTTACTACCAGCACAGCCACGACTGCCGCAAGAGCCATCTCCCACATCACGGGCACGAGCGAGCCATGAATATCGTACCACAGTGGGATCTTTGCCATCGGATCTTGCAGGTGCTGAGACGGTGGCGTCGGAAGAGGAGGCAGCGGGTTCCCATAGATGTAGGCAGGCGAAGGCCGGAGCTCGAGACTGAAATTCAACCGCCGTTTATCCATCTGCCGAGTCTCATAGCCACCATCAGTCTGGCCCCACTTATTCATCGGTACATCAATTGGCACGATTGTGATACGTTGATGCGCGAGGAGGTTGACAATAACGATCATGTCGCCGTCGTCAGCGGCGTGTGAGTAATTGGCAAACCCTTTCTCCCCAAAGTCATGATCGAGTTGCTGCTTGTAAGCTGCCGCTTGGTGGAAATGAGCAGATTGCAGATTCTTCTTGAAACGGGAGACGAGAAAATCGCTAATGTCGTAGTTGCGGCCGGGAATAAGGCGGCCTTTGTTTTCTTGAGCGAGGACACGATCAAAGAGTAGCTGTTTGAGAGCATCCTCGACAGTGCGATCCGGGAACGTCGAGAGCTTGGCACGGGCCACAGAAGGATTGTAGGTGGACTCGGGCGTCATGATGTTGGCACGGATCCAGGATTTTGCGGTTATGAAATCTTCTGCATCTTCTGGTCGAGCACCTTGTCGTTCTCGAATTAGAGGCAAGACATAGGGGTCTCTATGCACAATCTTTGTTCTTCTGGCTAAGACGGAAGAGCCGTCGATCTCGTAATATTCATTGATCTCGTTGTGGTATCTCTCGTTCAGCGTGTATAGGCCATCAAACTCAGATCGCTCCACTGGAAGTTCCGGTAACGACTGGGTAGGTGTGTTTACGTTGGCCATTGTCCATTCGACAAGCCACTTCCAGTCGTAGTCTTCCAAATTGTCATAGTCAATGGCGGGCACTATACCCTCCTCGTATGCGCTTGCAAAGATGCTCTGGAAGTCTGACTCCATCTTGGGCAAAAAAAGCTTATACTTTTGCAGCGTGAGACTCCACCGGCTGTGAACAAACATTTGGGTGTATGTTGGCTCGAAAACTTTAGCAACGAGTACCCAGTCAATGCGTTTGTCAAGCCCTCCTGTCAGCGCCCGGATGACCATAACGGCAGTGAGTAGGCGTTCTTCGCCATTCTCGCCGAGAGACTTCGCTTGACGCGGCCCACGTACCCTACGTAGCTTAGTGGGTCGGTGTTCTTGATCCAATTCCACTTGTTTGGAGGCCTGGTCTGGAGTCCCGATTTCCGCTAAAGATGTTAGGCGGCGGCGCTTGAGCGGTGTCCGAGTTTCAGCTGCCGCGGGATCAATGCCTCTACTACCGGTGCTGAATATGCTGTGTACTATCCTGGGTCTGAAGCCATTGTTCCTGGGAAACGGCCTGGACATGAGGTGGCCATCCTTGAGGCGGACGGTGACTTGCTTTGCAGCTTCCATATCAGCCTTGACCACTTCGACAGTTTTATGAGTATGTGAAAACACATGGTTCACAAATGGCCAGCCCACGAGGACAACGTTGTTTACCTCATTTGCTTCAAGCTCCCGCCTCAACAAACGATCTACTTCTTCGTCGAACGGCGTCTTTTCTATTTTTTGCGAGTCCTGCAGCGACAGCGGCCGGGTACTCCTACGATGTGAGCTATGTGGGTGTACGGTTTTGAGGCTTGCAGCATACGGGTCTAAAGCCGTACCGCGATACGCAAAGATCTTCCGAGGAGGTCGAAGCCCAGAGAAGGTTACCGAAAATGTGCCAGTGGCGCGGTAGAAGTAGTGGGCGGGATCCATGAAGCTGACGAGTAGAACCCTCTCCTGATACGAGGTTCCAGAGCCTTCCGCATGAGCAGCTACTGGCCACCCAGAGACACGAGATAAGGGCAATTCGGGTGACGGAGATGCTGTTGTGCTTAGACTCCCACGCCGCGTAGTACTCGAAGTCGGAGGCACTTCTCTCATCTCCTCTAGACCAATTTGTTTCAGTCCTAGATCATCTCCTGGCCGCACAGTTCTATTGAAATTGGCCTCCCCAGCGTATGGTGGAGTGTACGGGAAAGGTTGATTTCTTGGTCCAGCAGTAATCAAAGCAGCACTTCTGGATGTTGGAGCCTGCCGTGGAGGAAAGGTTGGACGAATTGGTGCATATGAAGATTCGAATAGACCAGGATTGGAATCGGTGTACAGCAAGGAAGACCTGGTCGAGTTAGCCAGCGCTTGCTTGCGTTCAATTCGGGCAGCATTTTCTGCCATCTTTCGCATGCGTTGTCTGGCGTGTTCGCTAAGATCGAGAGGTATTGGGGCTTCTGGTGTGCCGATTTGCACATCATTTTCGGCCGCTGCCATCAGGACCGTGGGTCTTTGTTCCTCAAAGTTGAAGTCTGAGAAAGCATAGTTTGATGGCAACCATATCAATGAAAATGGATTGCTGACTGGGTTGACGGGTATAGTTGGCAAAGAATTTACCTGTGGTCGTACAGGTTTCTTGATGCTGGCCAGACGCTCGACACGCTTTTGGCCTCTCCTTCTGCTTGAGCGGTTTGCAGTAGGTTTTGGCAGGACCTTTCTACCAAGACCGGGTGCGGCGTGAGCCGTGTTTGTGGTGGCTCGCTGGATAAAGGGTTCGGTAATAGGCTCGTTAGCATCAGCGTGTCCAAGCTCCTGCTGGTCTTGTTCTTTCAATGCTTTCAGCCTAGCTACGGCAGTTCTCTCTTTCCCATCCATCATCTTCTTGGCGCGGTCCAGTCGGCGCAGTTCCGCAGACTCCGGTGCAGACGAGTCTTGTACTGGTTCCTCAGTCATGTTGTCTGAAGTTTCTTCGCTGTCATTCTTGTTGTCGGGAATTTTTATACTCGAAAAACCTTGTGGTGGCAAGACAGCCATGGGAACAAAGTATCTGGGGTGGTAAGCCACCATGTTTGTCTGGGTCTCTTTGACTTTGGGGTCGGTAGTGTCAATAGTTGGCAAGACGAGCATACTCTTGGTGACAGTAACTCCCTGTCTGGTCTGAGAGGCGAAGGTGATCTGTCGAAGTTTGTTCTCTTTGATCAATGCATTGACAGCATTGCTTATAGTCTTTGCCTCTGGCGTTCCTTCTTGCCCTCTCCGTTTCCATTCACTGGCGAAAGGCGAACTCATCTCTTTATGACTAGGGAAGACACCTTCGCATTTGTTTACGATGTCCATTATGATATTTTTCCGTAACATTGCGGTGGAACCTCCTTGCCTGCTTACCTTATTGATCGACTGCCTATTCGAAGGCTTGCTGGCTTCCAGGGTAGAAGACTGAGATGATTGTACGGCCTGAATTGTGGCAACTTCGCTCTGCGTGGTTTTAGAGTTTTCAAGTACAGAACCACTTGAACTCAACTCGCTCGACTCTTTCGTATCTGGTTGCCTTTCTGGCGTACGACTACGCTCTTCATTTTCGATGGGTGATTTTCCGTATACCTGGTCAACGCTTGGGGACAGTGCTGCTATTTCTAGAGGTGTGCTCGGTTTGCTGATGGGTTTAGAAGATTCCATAGTCGGTGACGAGTGTCTACTATACGGACTTGCAGAGAAAGGATCAAATGGAGCTGCGCCACGAGTAGGCTGCGGAGATGCTGTGCGCTTTCTCTTCGTTCCAGCAGTATCAACGTACAGGGAAATGTAGGTAGATATTGGCTGAGTGGCGGGGTGAGAAGAGACAGGCGATGGCAAAAATGTCGACCTTGATAGATCTGGCTGGCCTTCAGGTTGGGTATATGGTATAGGGGCTGGCTCTGCAACCCGTGATGTCGGCGTCTGCGTTCTGCTTCCTAGGCAAGACATCTGCTCAGAGGCTGTGGTTGGCTTCACGTACCAGTCCAATTTGCTCAACCTTGTGGATTTGAAGACAGCAAGCTTGAAATGCATAGGCCGAAAGTCTCGAGGTTCACAAGGCCTCTTCCTCCGAGGAGTCGTCTTACCGATAAAGACACCGGCATTGGATCTTATGATGGTCTCCAATTGGTGTTGGTAGTGTTTTGACATGAACTTCTCCCAGCCGGGGTACATCCCTTCATTACGGGCATTGAGCTGCATGTTTGATGTTCCCAGCGATGCTTCTCGTGCGGGCACAGTAACGAGTTTTTGTGCCACTGCTGAAGAGGTAATTGGTGTTGTAAGGTGCTCGTCGTGTTGTGATAACATGTGCGCAGTACGTTTCCGCTTCTGTCCTGCTCTGAATATGTGTAGCTCATCTTGTGGCAGAAAAGAGCCCGAGTGGGCAGCCATCGAGGGCAAATATTTGTACTGAAGAGGTATTGTATGTTCCTCGCCGTTCTCCAATGGGACGTTCGCTGTTCGTTTCCGCTTTTGTCCTGCTTTAGCTGTGGACGACATATCTGGTGGCAGAAACGAGCCTGAGTGGGCAGCGATTGAGGGCAGAAATTTGAAATGAGGGTCCAATAGTCGCTTTGGTTTTGCGGGTCGGGCTTGCTTACGCTTGACATTATTCTGCAAAGTGTGTGCGGTCGAAATCTCCATTGCTAAGGAGGGTGGGCGAACATACGGCCAAGAATGTGCAGCTACGGACGGGAGATAAACCATAGATTCCTGGTTCGACACGCGCTGCCCACGTCCCCGTGTCCGAGTTGGAAGGATTGGAGGTCCTTCTTCTAGATCTTTACCTTTTGGCTCTAGGTGGGCACGCTTCCGCCATGCTGGGACAAAATGAGTATGGGCAGCCATCGAAGGCCGGTATCGAGTGTCCTTCCAATGTCTACCCTTGGGTTTTGCTTCGTCTGGGTCTGGTTCTGGCATTGGCTCCCCAGCAAAGTTGTGAAGTACTCGGGCTCTTGAAGACTTTGGAAGTGGCAATTCTCCCTCTTGCTTGCGTGAGTCATCCCTCTCCGCCAGCACTTCATAGGCGGCTACCATAGCGTCTTCTCCACCTTCAATGCGCTGAACGATTTCCTTTTCAACCTTGACGATCTCGTACTTCTCGAACATTGCTTGCGACTGAAATAAGTAGTCGACATCGTCTGAGGTCATGGTATCGAAGTTGGCCGGGATGCCGGTCTTGGGATACTTGCGCGGCCGGCCCAATGGCTTTGAATTCGATTCTCTGACAGGCTTACGCCTTGGAGTCTGGAATCCAGTTGCTTGTCCCTTGGCTGGTACCACACCAGGGAGCTTGGACACCGCTACCCTTTCGGGCTCAGTCGCCTGTGTCTTGGTTGATACAGTATCGGACGTCGTTGACAGCGCTACCTTTGGGGGCTTCATTGCTCGTGCTTTGATTGGCGCAGCCTGAGAAGGCGTGGACGCCGCTTTCTTGGGAGTAGATCCATTACCAATAGTAACAGAGTGTCGCTGGTGGCTTTTGTATCGGATACCTAGTCCACATTTAATGAACACAAAACACGGTCTATGACTATATTGCTTACCATGACTGCCATCAGCCTTCTTGCTGAAGACAGGGTCAGTAGCAGAGATGTGCAGAGGGTCGACTTTGAGTGCTGAGACACATTCTTCAAGAGTAGCATCATTCTGGCGCCCTTGAAACTGGTTTTCTTCGAGTCTCGGGAAACCATACTCATCCACGTCAGGTTTAGCGTCTAATGCTGCAGCGACGTTCTTGCCTATCGTCACATCGCTGGCGACGGTTCTTACTGCTTCCCAGAAGCCTGTACCGCCATCAACAAGCTTCTTGAAATTTTCATATGTGTAGTAGATGTAGATTTGAGTCTTGCCCTTGAGAACGGTGTCTCGCACGATAGATAAGTGACGAAGATGTAGGGGCTGTGATACTTGCCAGGAATCCGCCAACCGCGAGACGTAGTCGTCCAGAGGTCTTCTGACATGGTCGCCCATCAGATTATGCCTAATCTCCTGTTTATGAAATTAGCGAATTTGTCTCACTTGCTATGGGAGAGAGCGTCTACGCACAGTCATACTCATGCCTTTGATGCCAGCCCGATCGACAAGCTCAAAAATTTGGTTGTTGATGGATCGATCAGCTGTCCATGAAGGGACTGTCCGACTACCTGAAAAAGCGATATCTCCTGCCACGCTTTCAGGGGCGACTGTTGAAGATGATTCTCCTGGTGCCTGTCTATCTTGGTCTCGCTGACCTTTTTTGTTCACGCGCTTCCCTTTCCCTGCTGATGAGGGGCCTGGATCGCTTGTCTGCTTTTTCTGATCCAAATTACTGTTGACGAAGCGCTTCAGAATGCATTGGCTCGTATGAAGTATCCTCTTTGGGTTGACCAATTGAACAGCCAGACGCTTTTTCTCGACATACCCACCATCATGTAGGCGGTCAGTTCGGGCTGGGAGAGAACGCTTATCCTGGCCACTGATTCTGACGAGATCATGTTGCAAGATACCCTTGGGTCCACACGCTGCTATTATAGAAAGGCAGACGAAGTCGAGAGACTTAATTTTGCTGGAGTCGGGGCCATGTCCAGCTAAGGCGTGCCACATGCAATTCTCGCTCGCGTAGAGTCGGATCCCGGGATCGAATTTCGACTGTTGGGGAACCGCAGCATCTTTTGTTTCGGCTGTCAGAGTAGTATCGCCGTCTCGTACTGTTGAAGCGTCAGATACGTGTGAGGAGAAAGCAGCGTCGGGAAGGTTAGTTTCCTGAGAGACGAGGGCCGACTGCTCAGATTGCTCGATGGCAGCGTTGCGTGCTTCCACTTCGGAGAGCGTTAGCTTCTTGTGCCCGGCATGGCTTCCTAACCGAATGTCGGGATTTTTGATGAGCCAGTTCCAGACTTGCTCGAGAAAAGGCCTGTCAACGTTGGAAGCAATGCCAGGATGAGGAACAGTATCGTCTCTGTCTTGAACCTGACTGTCTTCGATTGGATTAGCGTAATAGCCTTCGACATGGGCAATGAAATCTAGAGGTAACGCTCCTGATCACTATTAGCAAACGTTTAACCCATCATGTAAGATGTTGGCTAGAATTGGTTTAATTGTGAAAGAAAATCCTCTCTTTAGCTACTGGATGGGTGATTCAACCGCCACAAGCTTGCAGAAACAGCCCGAGTTCTAGTTGACGAGTTTTGAAACCACACAAAAGTTTCCCCCCGCAAAAAGAGGGTTGGATTCTCGTCTGGTAATATGGTGCAATGGCGAGAAAATGCAAAGAAAAGGTGGGAACATGCAAGGTATGGGTAGCTCGAACGCTCGAACGCTGACGACGGAGAAAACATGAGAATTGACTCACCATGTTCGCCACAAAGAGCAATCTGGTCGACCAGATGACGGATCAGACCGTTCAAACTTTTTGCCATAATTTGAGAAACATTGTGACCCTCCCTTAAAAGGGTCCTTGGATAGTAAAAAGATTAAGCCATGAATGGCGATAGCGAGATTCGAACGTCGGTCTTCATATTTGGTCAGATATGGTAAGTAGGTGCTTTGGTTGGGCGGCCAGTTGTGGTGTAAAGTATCTTAGCCTAAAGATGAGTGTTCAGCGGTCGGAGTTTTGGGGGGGGGGGGGCTGGTTCCCACGGAGATTAGTTTTAAAGGCCGGCGCTAGCGATTCGCTCTGGATAATGGCCGGCAAGTGAAGTAAATAAAGTAACAGGGAAGGCCTTAGGCCAGTTAGTCGGTTGTGGGACTATTACAATGGGAGGACAGACATTGGAATAAAGATTTCCTATATTTGAACATTGTCCCATATCTCGAATCGATGTGGTATCACAATATCAACATACGTAATTGAGACCCCGCCCCTGGTATGCCTCCACCTGGTCAACGCCATTGGTATCGCAAGTTCACCAAATTTCATAAACGTAAAACAGCTGGACTGTCGACAGAGTCTTCAATACCTCCATGCACATCATTAGAGGCGCCTTTCATTCGTTTCCACCAACCATGGTGTCGGTTCCAATTCCTGCGCGTTGCCCCTTTCAGGTCGTCGACGTTTAATAAGTCCACCCCTTCCTTCACCAGCACATCCCAAACATGGTTTCGCAGGCTGATCGGCCAGAACGGGAGGTCCCAGTATCTCGCCTTCAAGCCTCTTCTGTGTGCACCCTTGATCTGGCCTCGAAGCAGATCCATTTGGTGGTCCGAGAACTGGCCGTCCCACAATTGCCCGATTGCGTCTCCAAATGACACACTTGCATAGTAGGAGTTACTAGTGGTGTAGGCGTTGGCATCGCCAGAAATAGTCCTAGACTTGCCTTGACCCTCTTCATCTGATCGCCTTTTCCTGGCGTTTCCTAATGACACTTTGGTAGTGTCGGCCAATTTCTCATTCTCATCGGAGAGTGGCTCTCCCTGCATGGTACCCTTTGGCGGTTCCTCATTTATACTCGTCGCAGTTGATAAGTCGCCGCTGGTGGTACCTCCATACATCTCACTGAGAGGAGCATCGAAGAACACATCGTGATGGGGATTGGTTTCCTCCGAGTTCACCATATCAAAAGGCGTGTTACCTGTCCCAACGACTGTGATGGGACCCCGAGTGATTTGGGTGCCGTTGGACCGAGTCAAATAGTTCTTTTCTCGTAGTGGCTGAAGTGCCGATTGTACGTGAGGCCAAAGGGCTGATCCAGATGTTTTGAAGTCAATGAGAAGAATGAGAGTCTGCTCAGGGTCTGTGTCGAAAACACCATGTGGCTGAGAGGTGTCGTCTGGAAGTATAGTCAATCTTGGGTTCTGCTTTGACAAGACGTCGAGAAGCGGGTTGATGTAGAGGCTGTCGAGCGTACGGTTGGGCGTCAGGCTTGCAACGGAGTGTCCGACGAACAATTCCTCGTCGAATAACCAAATATCGGCCTCCACGCCGATACAACCAACTTCTATCGCGGAGAACAGAGGCACTCTCCGCCAATAGTCATTGTGCGAATGGCATGGCATGGGAATGATGTCCCGTGAAAAGTCCGTGGGCCACGACGACAAGCCTGCCCCAATGTGCCCTGGGCGGCCCCACGAGTCCACAATGCGGTGTATACTATCGGGAAGGATAATTACGACGAGGCTGCCGATTAGGTTGAGGAGCTGTATCACTCCACTATCAAGGAAGTCAGCATCTGCAGCGTCACGGGGCCATTTCGAGTCCGTACAGAAGCACCAGTATACCAAGACTTATGTTTAAACATAACCTCGATCTTTTCCGTTTGTTCAACGTTGGCTTTTCCCCAATGTCATTGCCAGGTCTTGAAGGTTTCCGCCGCGATCTGCGAGGGTTCTGTGAAGATAGGAAAGCCCTCCACTTTGGCTTGTGTAGGGTGGGATTGGTGGACTGACTATCCTCTTCTAACAAGGGCTCTGAAGCTGAGAATTGGCAGCTACTCTGCGAAGGAGCATCGTCAATGTAGAGATCCCGGGACGTGAGACCGACGGTCTCCTCGTCGGACCTGCGCATGATAAATCAATATAGTGTTATTCTGTGGTGGCTAATGCACCGTATGCCTTGATTTTTCGCTTAGACGTCCTCTGGATTTGGAATATGTTGCCGGGACTGTGATAGAGATAGGGAGCGAGATGGATTTGAACGGTTTATTGTAATGAATGTATTTGTGGTTGCTTCAAGCTTTGGTTTTGGTGGGCTTCTTGGTAGGTAGGTAGGTAAGAAGTTGGGCAGGTAGTAATGGAGGGGCAAGTGGCATTACAAAGGTGTGAAGGATGGCGTGCTGCGAGTTGCTTTGATTTTGGATAGAGGGTGTGAGGCTATTATGTCAGGGAGTCCGGACTGGTGAGGAAGACGGGCGGATGCTCATTCATGAATTGGAGCCAGATTGGTCTCGGTCAGCTGCAGGAATAGTGTGCTGATTGTTTCCGATATTTTTCAAAAGCGTGCGCCGGCAATTGAATTCAATTCGTCCGCCAAATGATGATGATCAAACAGCGACTGAGTTCCGGCTTGTCTCATTATCCATTTTTTTTCATTGACAATTGATGCAAAGCAACATACAGGTACAAGTGAAGAGTATTGTAGCTGAGTGAGAATGCTGATTATTGAGCTCATCATGCAAGCACTCTAGGAGTATTCTGGGTATTATTCACTATTCACTCGGAAAAGCGTCCAAGTTTCGGAGATGGACGAGGGGAAGTATTTTGATGCCAGATCTCTTGGCAAGCGGGAGGTCCCTTTTTACTAGCAGGCATCCTTTGGTCTCACTTGCATAAAGTACCTTACAGTACCGTACCTACTGGCTTAGGTACATGTAAAGTACCTTAACCCCACGCTTCCAGGCACTCACTGTATTATTAAGGTATTATAGGCTTAATCTTTGTCGCAAAATTTGCAAAATCTCCACAAATACCTTACTGTAGTATTACTGCAAGCCAAGACACAAAGAACGCTGTCCTTTATTGGCAACTCTATCAATCATACCTACCAATCATACCTACCAATCATACCGATCATGTAAATTACTGGATTGTGGCATGTATGTAAGATCTTACCTACCTCATTGAAGCTCGGCCGAGGTGTCTCGGATCTACCAACATCGGCCATCTAAAGTAATGTACCCGGGGACGTGGACTTCCGTACTCGTACCAATACCCAGCTCATACTGCACTGTGGGCAGGGTGATGGAAGGATACGGGCATTGAATTAAACGATTTGCACCCCCAGTCAGCATGCCTCACAAACACAAAAGAGATAAGTCCAAAAGTGACGCTTCATTCTACGACCTTCCCCCAACCAAGACCGCCCATCCTCTGCCGGTGAAGAAGCTCATAACCACCATTGGAAAGTCTGGCACCAAGTCTGCCAAACGAAAACATGCTCAGATGCAAGATGACACCCCTAGAGCCTTTACCCGCCTTCTCGGCGACTACCGCCCTCCTCGCTCTGGTCTCGATGATGGCAGGAAACCCTCCAAGAAGGCCCGCAAAGAGTCCAAACTTGAATCTAAACCTGGCACTGCAATCCGTGCACCCGCGCCGGCAGCGATGCCAACTATACAGCCACGCGAACCCCTGTCATCTTTTGCAGCCCGTGTAGACGCTGCACTGCCGTTTTCGGGATTATCAAAAAGGGGTGGCGTAGTCAAAGAGGACGTGAGGGAGAGACAGACAAAGACTGAGCGCAAGATGCAAAAGATGCAACAAGATTGGAGGGAAGAGGATCGTAGGAGGAAAGAGAAGCTGGAGGAAGAAGGAGATAAGGATGTGGACGAGGAGGGTCAGGACGGGTTGGTGAAAAGTACGACTAAGGGAAAGAGGAAGGGCGGGAAGAAGAGAAGAAAAGGGGGCGACCAGGGTGGGGACATTGATGACGACGACGACGACCCATGGGCACATATCGCCGCCAAGCGACTCGAAGAGAACGATGCAGAGACAGCTTCTAGGTCTGGAGCAGGCTTGATTGGGTTACATGATGTGGTTCTTGCGCCACCAACATTTTCCAGGGTGCCAAAGGGGAAAGCAGATCTTAGCATCAAAAAAGGGGTAGGAGGATTGAAAAGGCAACAGGAGTTGTCCGAAGCAAGGATGACCGTTGTCGAGGGTTATAGACAGATGATGCGGGGAAAGCGAGGGGAAGGAGGGTAGAAATGCCCTGAAAGTATTTAAATTTTGATACAACCGATGAATGGGATTGGATAAGAATAATGGTGGCCGAAAGCTAGTCCATGGCTTTCAAACAAATAGTGGACCAAGCTTCGTCCATTGACGAGCCCGCCAATGCATTATCATACCTGGATCTGCTCTTTGTCGCTGTTGCTCGTCTTCGTTTCGGGGGTTTAGATTGCAGAAATTGCCGACTATCTCTACAGCTTGTCTGAATGTTACAAACATCTGGCTATCTCAGCGCGAACAGTGAGTGAGAGGATAATCTCCTTATGCATGACTTTTGTTGAGAGGCCCTTAGTCAGAAGTTCTATTATTATCCAATACAATGGCCCAGCTCAACAGCACTACCGATCTAACCCATCAAACTCCACCAACTTCCTCACAACGGCCACAACCTCATCGTTGCCCAAGTCCAAGAACGGATTGTCTATCTTCCTCGCGAGCACCTCGTCAAGCATCATCCTCAGCCTGCTCACTAAAACTCCAATCCTTGCCCAGCCCCGTAGCCTCAACCAACCATCGACTATGAGACCCCGGCCAAGAGTATCGAGCGTGATGGGCCCAGAGAATAGAAGGAGGCTGTAGGCGTTGAAAGGTGTTAATTCTCGGATGAATAGCTTTTTAGTCTCCATTTTGTTGAAGTAGCTTAGGTAAACAGATCCTCCTTGAAAGCCTTGGGCATCGAAAAGAGTGGAGCTTGGATGGACAAACACCCGGCCATTGTCCTGGTTGAAGAACTTGATAGTCCTGGCTTCGGGATCTAGTTCCACAGCCCCTGACATTGACGGTGCAAACTTCTTGTCTGGGAAGTCGATTCGGGCGAGTTGTGGGTTGAATGCACCGGCTACCAACGCGCGGATGAGCGCCGTGTTTGAGTTCTGCGAGTTGAGTGAGGCCTGTGTGTTTGAGTGGTATGTTGAGGGAAGGAACCCGGCTTCTTTGAGGGACGAGAGGTATTGCGAGCGATTGGAGGAGATGTCATCGAGGATCCGGCTCGCAAGGTAATTTTGATCACACCAGAACTTGACATCATGATAATTCGAGGACGATTTCCTTTGCGACCACTCTTCGTACGCTCGCAGATCGCAGATCAGGTCGCCCTGGCCAGGGCCGAAGGACAATCTCGCCGCTTTCGACTCTTCACGTTTGGGTTGAGGAGAAACGAATGGGGATTTGACCGTGAGAATGGCAGCAATGGTGAGGCATGCTTCGAGACAGCCAAAAGTAGCCCCATACACCATGAGCTTGCCACAACGTAGATCGGCTGGTATCATGGACAAGTGCCTTCCTAGAGCGGTCAGCTCATTTCCATCTAGGGCGCCCATCCGACCTAAGAGGTCTACCGCCCCCTTGACCGCCAAAGTCTCCGGTGGAGTCAGAGCACTAGCAAGGAACGCAGGTACGTCGATGACACCCATTGCTCGGACTGAGAGACAAAGTTGCTCTAAAGGAACACGTCTAATCTCAGGCTCCGGTCTCTCTGCCATCTTAGCTTCGGCAATGCGTGTATACAGCTTGTAGCACACTCCTGCCTGAACTCGGCCTGCACGACCCCTGCGTTGCTTACAAGCTGCACGAGACGCCCAGATCTCCTCAAGCTTGACCATGTTATTTTGAGGATCGAAACTTGTTTCTTTGACCTTTCCACAGTCGATGACCGCGACAATGTCTTCAATTGTGATAGAGGTTTCGGCGACATTGGTGGCGACGACGACCTTTCTTTTGCCCCTAGGTGCTGGTGAGAAGACACGTCGCTGTTCTGTGGGCATCAGTGAAGCATGTAGCGGTAATGCATGCATGTTAGGACACCCTCGAAGAGCGTCAAGAGTGCGGTTGATTTCCATAGTGCCCGGCAAAAATATGAGTATGCCCCCTTCCTGAGAGCCCAAACCTGAGTCGATGGCCAGTACGGTGCTGGCAATTAGACTGTAATTGATCTTCATACCGATTCCTTGAATGGTACTTGCTACAGACGGATTCACGTCATCCTCATCACTTTCTTCATTCTTACGCGAGCCTGAATTGAATCCTGTCAGACGGATGACATCGTCCAGGTAGTAGTCTTCAACGGGATATGTGCGACCCTCGATCTCGATCGTCGCAACTGAGAAGTTGCTGAAGTACTCCTCAAAAACGCCAGCGTCGAGAGTTGCACTCATCAGAATGACCTTCAGATCCTCTCGTCTGCCCAAAACTTCCTTGAGTAGTACCAGGAGGAAATCCTACAAATGTATCGGAATCAGCGTTGCGTAATCACGGCAGTGGGACCGAAGATAAGAGAGATCTAGAAAATGAGGATTGTCCTTTATTCCTGAGACATGTCCTGCGACTCAATATTGAAACATCCGTGGGGGATTTGTTGCCAGAATTTACGTACCACGTCAAGACTACGCTCGTGTACTTCGTCTACTACCACATGGCTCACATCCGCTAAAGCAGCCACAATGTCGTCTTTAGTCCCGCCAGATGTCTGCAATCGTCGGAGCAGCACTCCCGTGGTCACAAAGGTGATTTTAGTAGTCCCAGACTTCTGCTTTGATTCGCCTCGAATAGCGTAGCCAACTTCATCGCCTACGCGTGAGCATCGCTCATCACTCACACGATCAGCAAGACCTATAGCAGATATCCTTCGGGGTTGTGTGCAGATGAGGCTTGCCGCCGCTCCAATCTGACGTTTGATCATGTCATCCAGGACGAATTGAACACATTGAGTTGATTTTCCTGAACCAGTCTCACCGGAGATTATAGTGACTTGGTGGCCATTGACCGCGTTGACAATGGCTTCCTGCAGCCTCCATGCTGGCAATGTCTGTCTAGCGGCAAGCATTTTCTGCTGCTGCGGCGTTGTTTGTTTGGCTTGCCAACGGTTAAAGATATCGAGATTCTGCGGGCTCCGCGTATTGCGATGGATTTGAGTGGGCATCCTCCGAGCCTTTAGTTCTTTTTCAGGATTAAGCACCGGTTTCTTGCTACGCCCAGAAGCCACAGCGGAAACATCATGTAGTCTGCCAGGATTGTTAAGAATCTTTGGTATATTGTTTTCAAGCCAATCGACCATATTGAATATCATGGGCTCGCCTGAGAGATCCGCAGCCGCGTGGTGGATCAGCCGACGGATGATGCTTAGTCGAATATAGGCAGGAAGTCCAGGTGAGATGATGGAGACTGTCGGAGGCTGTTGAGGATACATTCTGGATTTCCTTACGCTCAGACAAAAAGGTGCTTGGAGCTCCGCGATGTATAATTGTACTTGGAACAGATCACGCTCAATGATTTTGAACCGTTCGCCGAAGATAGAGCTAAGAGTCTCTTGCTCCTCTGCCCAGCTAGGGTCCTGGTACTCGGAACCGGCCTCGGCGAAGCTCAAAGACGAGATCTTTGAGCTGATTTGTTCATCTGATCCCGCATGAACAAGCTCGTTCTGCAGTGCTTCAGCAGCAATACTCTCATTGCCATGGCAATCATCCAGGAGTCTTGAGCAAAGCTCACTCGAATAACCTGCTTCTGCAAGCCTCTTAATGGAAGCCTCTCTTTTCACATTACCGGAAGCCATGCTGAGGCCCGCGGTATAGCCTTCAGGGAGAACCCAAATTGGTAGATCATCTTCTGGGACGTGGATGATCAACCATTCGAGAGTCTCCTCACGGTCCTTACACTCTTGTACCGCCTCTTCTATATGGCTCTTTCGGAAGCCGAGACCTACGAATTCGTTGACGATATTTCGACATTGGAACTCGGATATTCGAGCGGCGTAAATGTTCCACCTGTCGTCTCTCCGAACAAGGCTCTCAACTTGAGCTCGAGTCCGCTTTGCCATATCAATTTTAGGCACCCTTGTCCAGCCTTTCATAACATTACGGTTTGAGTTCCCACCATTTGAACGAGCAGCACTCAGTATGTGAGCCGGTTGATCCGCTTCTTTTGCTGTCTGCTTCTCTCGCTCATCCCGTTTCTTTGCCATCAATGTCTGAGCCTCTTCTCGCTCCTGCTTGGCAGCAAACGGGTCGGCCTCGTACATCCAACCTTTACCTTGCTTCACATCGTCAGATTTCAGATCTTGAAAAGCAGATTTCCATAGATCTCGGTAATTCGGCGGAAGCATCATGTGGATGTTGCGCATGCTACAGACACGAAATAAGGCGTATGTTGCGGCAAAATGTCGAGCTTCCAGCGCTGTTGGTTGGACCGCTAGATGCTTATGAGATGGCGGGAGCTTGAAAGAAGGAAGAACAAGGGTCTCTTTTGTCTTTGGATTGGTAGATTTGAGGATGACCATTGAAGAGAATCCTTCTGGGGTTTTACTCTGCACAAGAGTCAGATAACGGCCAAGAATTGGGAGTTGGTCTTGATAGAACTTGCCATAGTATACTCCGGCTTGGCCCATCGCTGTTTCTGGCAATGTTCTGAAAGTATATTTACGGGCAATTTACCAGTCCATGATGCCCCTCCTATCTGCAAGAACCCGGAGTCAGTATTTACTTCTTAAGATGAGACTTGAGCCAAGAGAAAATTCAAGTGGGAAAGCCGCTTCCGAATGATATATTGGAATCATGTTGGTAATAATCTGACGACTTTCAATGTTGCTTACCAACTTTCTAGTGTCTGGCTGCTTCGGCGGATCTTCACTCGAAGCTGGGACAATATCTCCACCTTTCGTGGCCGAGTCTTCTGCTGTGCTGCTTTGTTTTGCCTTCCTCGTGGTCTTGGCATGTCCAAAGACAACATTGCTGTCAATGTCCTCATTGTTCGAAGCGAGCGAAACATTTGATTTCCTGGTGTTGGCGCCGCGGTTGCCGTTTTTGGGCATACTTGGAATCGCAATACCGACTCAATATTGCATGGTGCCTCGCATAGAAGGAATAGGACTCAAGCTGTGGACTAGTATCGATCTTTCGATAAGAGCAAGTAGTACGAAGAGAACATGGGTGTTATTAACCTTCTAGACATGCCATAATGTTGAAGAATTTCAAAAGGTAGGATTTGTATAAAATGCAATCAACAGTTTGATCACTTCTTTTGTTACAGGAGGTCTTAAGCCAAGAGTGTTTGGCTTCGTAGCCCTCTCGGCCAAAAATTAGACACAGAACTGTAAAGAAACTGCAACCGATCTTTGAGCTAATCTGTGGCTGGAAAAATGTCAACCCGCAGGAAGCGCAAGGGTCAAGAAATTACCGTGGTCCATAAAAGGTGTCGAAGATACCATAACAAATGACTCCCGTAAATTACCTCGAGGGGACGCTTTGAACAATCGACAACTTAGCGGAGAGGATCCAATAAAGAAGATGGGTCGTGAGTAGCACCAGTAGTGAAATTGAAAAAAAAATCTCGGATTTATTCCGGGACTTCGTGGCTAGTGGCTCAATACTAGCGTGGAGGTCACTGGAACGGATACACATGATCAATCATCGGTCATAGAAATGTACTCCACTTCATACCCAAGGGTGACCACACGAAGAACAACATGAGAAGAGCCCCTTGGGACAGAGTAAATCAATTAAGAAGGTCAACCGGCGCCCACGAGCGTTACACTCAATAATTTCAGCAGCAAATCACCACTGTTTTCGAAGATGATAAACTTCTGGACGACCATTCCTTACCCCCACGTCAGCGAGCATGGGGGGGGGGGACCCCCTCCCCCCTTATTTTTTACCCCCCAAGCGCCCTTCAGGGGGAAAGGTTTTTCCTGGGGGGGGTTTTTTTTTACTTTTTTAAAATATATAAAAAAAAAAAAAAAAAACCCTCTTTAAGGAGGGGAAAAAAAAAAAAATAAACTATCTGATTCCCCGCAGAATTGCACTAAAATGATAGAGAAGAAATATCTTACTCTCTCATCAAATATTCGAATATCGAGATAATAGTAATAGAAATAGCTATATTTATATATATATAAGTATTCTAATCTTACTACTATCTAATTAATTAATTAAAGACTCTAAATAACTTTTTAATTAATTATTATCGCTCTTAAATAGATAAAAACGTTATATTCGCTCTCCGTTAGATTAATATATCTTAAATCCTTCTTTTCGATATTATAATACTTAATAAAATAGTCTTTCTAGACTAGATAAATCGTAAATAAAAGAAGAATATATTAAAATATTATTTAAAGTATAAGAAGGTCGATACTATAACTAGACGTATTATAACTATAAAGAATTTTAAATAAAAGAATATCGATAAGAGGTGCTTTAGAGGAGAGATATCTATTCTCTAAACTTATTGCTATCTTTTAGATTATAATAGAGTTATAATTTATCTCGCCAGCGGACTATAACTTACTTATTTTCTTCTTAATTTATAGCGGAGTTCTACTTATTTTCTAGCTCTTCTCTAGCCTTATCTTTAGAAGCCTTACTTATATTCTTAATTTTCCGCTATTATAGCTATAAATCGTTCTTTAAAAGGTTTTATAATAACTTAATCTAATATAGATCTGGTGAGTTAGAAGTTTAGTCTATCTTCTTAATACTATATTATTCTTATTTCTCTTAATATAGTCTAGCTACTTTAATATAAGCAAAAGCATTATTCTTAATTATCTATATATTCTTATTAGAGTTTCTTTTTATAACTTTCTCGATATATATATATAGACGGTTTAATAGAATATAATTTCTATATTATTCGCTATTAATTTTATAGTCTTTAAATACCAGAAGAGGGATATACTTGAAAATCTACTCTACGTTACGGCGTTTTTTAATACCTTTACCGTGTTTACCTTCTTTACTTTTCTTAAGAAAACGATTATAAATATTAATCTATTGATTCTCATCCTGTCATTTATTAGTATTTCCCTTAGAAAAGATAGAATTAACATATCTCAATAAGGGTATATTTAAATATTTCCGAAATTTCTACGAGACTCCTTTTTTTATTCATTTCTTTCTTAAGTTCGCGATTTCTCAGCACGATTTCGGCCTCTAATTTACGTCTTTTAATAGTAGTACGTACTAGTTAATAGTACTATAATTCGATATCTAATTTCGTAGAATAGGAAGCCTAATGCATTTATGTAAATTATATCGAAGTATCGATAATAGCTACTATTTTAATAGACCTTCTCTTCTCTATAGAAATACGTCGTCGTTTATAATTATTACTTTAAATTTTATAATAGTATTCGTTATTAGTAATAAAGATAGATCTCTTATCTAACTCGCTAAGAATTTAAATATAAAGATTATCTCGTTTATATTCTTCGTAGTAATTTAATCGTAGCTTTTTCGACTCTATTTTTCGCTTAATTCTCTTTATAATATAATTATTATTCGCCTTATAAGTATACTAAAGAGCGACTCTATAAAGTATTAAGTCTAATACTAATAACTATAGCTTATCTTCGTCTCATTTTCGCTTTCTATTCGCCTCTAAAATATCGATATTTTCTTATTCTATAGCCTCGTTATAAGAGAGTTATAGATACTTAAGAATAACTTAATATACTTATTTTAAGAGATCTAAATAATCTTCTATTCGGGTAGAAGTATTAGATCGATTTACGTTATATAGATATATTAAAATATTATAAAAATTCTCGTTCTTAGCTCTATTAATTACTCTTCGTATAATATTAGCTATTATATAAGCTTTTATATCTATTTTTCGCTTAATAGCTTTAAATTCTTCGAGATATAGTAGTCTATATATAGCTATAACTACTCTAAGCTCGAGACTAGTTTTAATATCGTATAAAGCTATGAAATAATAATATAAGATAGTTATTATAAAGTAAATAATGGAAACAAACAGCCATTTGCGGGCAAAACGGCCGCCAAGACGCTAAAATTTTAGCGTCGTAGCTCACTTCTGGAATCCACGAGTAATATAGTTTGCTTGGCTAGATCCTTAGGGAATCCTCGAAATCCTACCTTTATAGAATCTACATCCTCTTCTACCCATACGAGCCTAGTTATTCTTATTCTTTAAAGGTCCTTACCTAGATCTTTTTATAGCCCTAAAGTAGAATCTCCTTTATTATTATTCTTATATATCTTTAGAATCGTTATTTAGCCTATTCGACTATAATTTATTATTATTCGTTTTTTCACTGAATCTCTTACTGAAATCCTTACTATAAAAGTACTTTCTTAAGTTATTTAGTTTAGAAAGCCTCTTTTATTTACTAAAATACTTCTCGAGACTTAAGAAGTTTTTAATAAGTATCTTAAGAAGTTATTATTATCTAACTCGATTTTCTAATCATTATCGTTACTTATTAAAACTCTCTTACTACTATAAAAGGCAAGTTATAGTATTATTATTCTAGCGAGTATTAGAAATCTTCTCGAGGAATTAACTTATTACTATCGTCTTAACGCCTTAAACTTCTCGAGAATTCCTCTTAATAAAAGTTTTACGAATTCTATAGTCTCGTTATTAGAATCTTATCGAAGTACGCCTTCTTTAGATTAGTTTAAAGCTTCTATATATTCTAATAATACTATAAAAGTAATTATATCTCGCTCTATATTTACTATATATAATAATTTCTCTAGAATTACTAATATATTAATATTAAAATAACTTCGAAAGTTTAACTTTAATATAAAGAATTATTAAGATAAAGAAGATTATTTTCCTCTAGCTAAGTATCTAAAATATCTTAATATATTTTTTATTAACGATATTTTCGAGTAGTTAGAAAGTTATTTAGAAGCTATCTAACTTTTTATCGAAATAGAGTATATTAATTTTTAATAAATAATTTAGTAGTTTCGAGCTATATTCTATAAGAAATTTTCTTAAAAGCTATAAAAGTAAATGCGATTCTATTTAATATCGAGATTATAAACCTATATTAATATTCTAAAGAATTTCTTACTTTATATTTTAAGTGTATTATTAACTTAATATAGAGAGTTAAGATTAAGAATAGACTCGCTACTATTCTTAATACTATCTTTAACTTTCTTAAATCTACTATACTCGATATTATTCTCTATATCTTTATTAGAGAATTAAATAATTAAGAGATTTAAAAGAAAGTAATAAGAGGTATAATATTTTTTAATAGATCTTTATATATAGTCTATAATCTCGCGAAAGAAGTATAGCGTATTAACGTCGAAATCTAGAAGCTTTTAAATAAAGAATTAAGATTTAACTAGCTTTAATTCTATAAATCTCTTATAGAACGAAACTTGCTAAAATAGTAGATAGCTTTCTTATTAACTTCTTATTAAGCTGTTAAAGCCTTAAGGCCCTTATATTATTAGTCTTAATTCTTCTATATAAATCTATCGAAGTAGCTATTAAAGACTTTCGCGAAACCTTAATATTTCACGTAATTTCAATCTCTAGAGTATCGTTATTCTTTATATAAAGTTTTAGCTTCTACTTCTATTTCGACTTAGGCTTCGATCTTAGCTTAGAATTCTAATAAAGAAAACGCTAGTAGAAGCGAACTCTCGAATTCTATAGCTGGTAATTACTTTCGTAACTATTAATCTATCTTAAAAGATATATTTAATTATAGCACTTCGAAAAATTCTTATATTAATAATACTATCTACTAGTCTTATAAGAAAGATAATTAGCTATATATTAAGTGTAATATTAAGATTTATATCTCTTCTAATTATAATAATATCTTATTATCTATTTAAAAGTAATTATATTTAAAAATACTCGTTTTCGAAAATAATTTATAGTTAAACTTTACTTTCGTTAAATTTAGAGAGTTTAATAGATCTTTTAAACTCTATAAGATTATCCCTTCGCCGAAGCCTTTAATAGTTTCTTCTTCTTCTTCTTTTTTAATTAAATCGAGTTAAGTAACGCCTTTAAGCTCTATAAATTTAT